TGTAATCGAGCTTAAATCATCAATCAAGAACAGGAGGTCTGAGTAAATGCTTTTTCTGCTTTAAAATAATTGTAATTACTTGTAAAAAAACAAAAACAAATAAAAAAAATCTGACTGCAAAGGCATTTTATCAACATGAAGGTTTTGTAACAGGAAAATGTCGAGCTTGATTTAAATCTCATTAACATGTAGCTTATTATACATTTAAATAATCAGTCATTGCTTTGCTAGATAAGAGAAAAATGCTCACTGAAAGATGTCCAACAATAGGAAATTGTTGAGCTACTTTATTTTATGAGCAGCTTTGTTATTTTTTGTGCATTTATAATTCAGCCACAATCTGTTTGCTTGTTCTTTACTTCAGATGTCTTTTGTATTTGTTAAATCTGGTAAAAAAAAAAAATACAGAATGGGGAAGATGGGTGAAGTTAAAATCCCATCGTGCTTGAATTGTTTCCTACTTCCTAAATACAAATGTCGACTCTTTGTTTGGTGTGGTTAGGTACTTCCAGGTGGCTCGATGTTACAGAGACGAAGGCTCCAAACCAGACCGGCAGCCAGAGTTCACTCAGGTGGGATGCAGCAGCAGGATGCTCGGCCTGTTCTGTGAAGGTGTCAGATGTTTGCTCGTTTTAACGTCTCACACAAATGTAACTTCTACAAGTTACTCTACATCACTGAGTTAGTGTGTCATATGCCATCCTAGGAAAATAAACCCAAAGATTTGTTGTTTGAATGTGACAAAACGTGAAATATGTCAGTATTTAACAAGGAGCGGCTAACCTATAGGATCTTCTCGCTGACCGCTCCAGGTGGACATAGAAATGTCTTTTGTGGACCAGGCCGGCATTTTATCGTTGGTGGAGGGTTTGCTGCAGTATTCCTGGCCAGCAGAGAAAGGCTCTCTAAAGGTCCCTTTCCAGGCGATGACGTATGATGAAGCGATGAGAGACTACGGCGTGGACAAACCGGACACTAGATTTGGCATGAAGGTGGGTGATTGCTTGTGGCTTAGATGAACCTTAACGTGGATTACCAATAGATTGCATATTTACAGAATTTCGGATTTATCAAAAATCTGGGGCGCAGGTGACTTAATCAAGCCTAAATTGTGTTTAACCAGACGAAAGATGGAGGCAATTAAGAATGTGTTTATATTATTCTCATGTATTTTTCTCTGTCTTCTTTCTTCCCCAGCTGACAGACATCAGTGATGTTTTCTCCTCCACTCAGATTGAATTCCTCAGATCAGCTCTCAGCCAATCAGAAGGCTCGGTTCAGGCCATACGTATCCCCAGTGGAGCTGTAGGAATATTTATATTATTTATACGATTAAAATGCTCTTCTGTGCTACACAGTTCAGGATTTAATTCAATAAAGAAAAGATTACAGAACATGTAATTCAAATAAGACTTGTTTTATTATAATATCAATGTGTGTATGCTGATATGTCATTTGTGCCGATTTTGCTTTTATTTATGGTTGTTCTGTGTCTGCTGAAAGAAACTTTTCACTGGGAAAGATTTAGAGGAATTGAAGCAAGCAGCCAAGAGTCAATTTGGACAGGTAGGCTCATATTTTCTTTCATTTTTATCAAATAAAGCTTTTTAATGTTTACATTTCAATTGTTACTAAGTCCTAGATAGTCTTTGAGATCCCAAAACCTTTTCCAAATCTGCATTTCCTGTTCAAATCATTAGCAAGATAAACACCAGAAGCTATTCCTTCCACTCAACAACTTCCTCATCTAAAGTCAATCATCTATTAGGCCTTTTTTTTTTCTAAATATAATTTCCTATAAAGGAGCTGAGTCTGGTGTTGGTCAGAGAAGACGGCATGTTAAAGTCTACCCTGAAGAAGCTGATGCCCGTCTCCGTCACAGAGGATCTGCTGAGGAAGACTGAAGCCGGACCAGGAGACCTGCTGCTACTGGCAGCCGGCTCGCTCCACGCTGTGGTACGGTCTTTTCTGTAAGACAAACTGAACAGCTAAAAACGCTCTTTGAAACTCCCTTTCGCCCTGCTGTCAGCGCCCGATGCTCGGCAGCCTTCGCCTTAAGGCAGCACAGCTCCTAGAGGCTCATGGCTTTTCGGTTCGCGACCCGGATGCTTTCAACTTCCTGTGGGTGGTGGACTTCCCTCTTTTCTTACCAAAAGAAGATAAACCCGAGGAGTTGGAGTCCGCTCATCATCCGTTCACTGCTCCCCGACCGGAGGACAGAGAGTTGCTCTTCACAGAGCCACACAAGGTGATTATATCTTTTTTCAAAAATAGTTGCCCTTGTGGAAAATAATATATTGCACAGGCCATAATCAGTGTGGAGTTTTGGTGCTTTGTAGGTGCGAGGGCAGCATTATGACCTGGTACTGAATGGCAGTGAGATTGGAGGAGGTTCTATCCGGATCCATAAAGCCTCAGAGCAGCTTCATGTCTTAAAGAACATCCTGAAGGTTAGCTTTCCTTACTTAATAAAGAGAGAAATTAATATTGGCTCATATATGTCATAACTAATTGTTTACTTTTCCTTTGACAGGAGGATCCCGGTCTCCTTTCCCATCTGCTGGAGGCTCTAGACTCTGGAGCGCCACCTCATGGAGGCATCGCTCTGGGTAACTCAGCTCATGCCTGGAGATTAACATTAGAGCCACCAGAGGGCGCCATTTGAAACATCGTATGGCTTCAACTGGTTTAACACACTAAAAGCAGGACAAGAGTTGAGCAGCACAAACAATAAAATCAGTAAAAAGAAATTATGGGAAAAGCTGAATTTTACCTTAAAATTAGACACTTTAGACCCTCTGATCTGGATATTAATCAAAAAGTGTTCAGCTTTCTTTAAAATGACTCTAAAGGACAGAAAAAAATCTTTTTTTTCTTGTCTAAAATGTTATACCAGAGTAATTAGATGTTTTAGTTGGTCATGACATAACCTCAACATAACATGGCAATTCCCAAAGGTTAATAATTTTGTCATGTACTTTGATAAATGTGTCTCTCTGGTGAAAATTACAATTTTTAGCAGTTTACATGGTCATAACTGTTATGTTACAAATATCCCATTATGTAAGAGATGTTAAAGTCATTTTAGGGAAATTCATAAAATATGAAGTCAGGAGGACTCAATGTAAAAGAAATTACACAGAGTAAAGGTATGTTTGCGAAGTCCAAATTTTTATTAAATTGGGAGATCAATTCAAGCGTAGAACAGCTGCTAAGGCTTTTTTTTTTTTATGAAACTGTTTAAATTCAGAAAGCGTTTTGTTTGCCAAAAAAATTTTTTGTATATTTTTACAGGCAGAGTTTTGTCTTTTTTAGCTAACTTGCAGCCGGTTTGCTGACTCGTTTACCGTGCCCCCATAGGTTTGGATCGCTTGGTCTCTATTTTGGTCGGAGCTTCCAGCATTCGTGATGTCATTGCCTTCCCGAAGTCATTCCGGGGTCACGACCTCATGAGCCACGCGCCCGACTCCGTGTCAGAGGAGGAGCTGAAGCCGTACCACATTTCTGTCAAATGGCCAACCGATGGAGGACGAGAAGGGAAGTGAGACGTTGAAAAAGACAAATCAACATCTGAGGAGATGGTTTCCTAAATTTCTGATCTACACATCAGAAATAAAAGCATTGATGGGGACACAGAGAGACACATGAAGACTGAACAATGTCCATTTGGTCCGCGGGGACATCAAAGTCAAGAGAATTTAAGAGAGAAATGACGCGTCGGCTGTATCTGAACACTCGGGGTTGAAAAAATATCATGCCAAAAGGACAGAGTGTAAAGCTAAAACTGAACTATGATGGAACATTTCAACTCGCATCAGAACTTACGGCATCAAACTTATTAGGTGTTTCTCTCTTTTACTGAGTCTGTTTTATAAAATGAAATTTATAGACAAAGTTACTGTTTCAGGACATTTCATTTAAAACTATGTGTCTTGTCTGTGTCAGTTTGCAGAGTGATCTGTTTGCAGCCTTGTCGATAAGAGTAAAGCCCTTGTGGTAAGAAAGTCTTAAAGTACAAAAATGGCATTCAAAATGCCAAATTGGGACAGTGGAAGTACAAGAGACTCTTGAGATCAAAGAGTTAAAGATACATGAGAAATTCCAGTACAAAAATACTTTATTAAAAGTGAAGCTCCTAATAACTCTTATATTATCATTAACACAATTACCTTTCAGTGTGAGCAGTCTGTTACTCTGCTCTGAAACAATATAAGCTTACTTGCAAATAATCACAACCTGACTTTATTTAATTTTTCTAAAAATTGGAGGTACAGATATACAGGGCATATCAGAATATAGCATTGGATGTTTATGCTTTTACAAACCAATCATAATCAACTTTTTATTGACAAAATAAATTTCTAAAAAATCTGGAACACCAAATCTGAAACTGATTTTTTTTTTTTTTTTTTACAAAATAATGACAACTAAATCAAAAATATTTAACTTATTCCATTTCTTGACAATGGATTTAGCTGAACTGCTCGAGATGTTCCTTCCCCAGCAGTTGGTTTTCTTTTGCAGCCATCCCCTGATTTATACTTTTTGTAACCTTCTTCTCTAATTTGCTGTAAGGGTAGTCAAGAATACTGTAAACTCAGTCAAGATTATCTCCTTTTCTCTAGCACCAGATGGCTGGACCTCTGTTGAATAGTTTTGATTTATTTACATTATTAAATTTATATTACATTTGTCTTTTTTGTGAGAAATCAGTTTTATATGTTTTTTTTTTATATATTCTTTGAAAGATAAATATATATTTTTAAAAAAGGTAAGAGTGAATAGTATTTATTGGCGCTGTATGTATCCTCCATTTTGTTTTTATTTTTATATTCATAAGTTTTACATATTACATGCCTGGACGCCGCTAGCAGGTATCGTCTCATTGGGTTGTGTAGTTTCGTAGTTTTTTTGTAGTTTTCCTCACGTTTCCGGTTAGTATGACGACGGCAACCCGGAACAGGAAGTGTCAGAGTATGTGACCGTAGCTCAGGAAAAAAAAAAAAAGATGGTTGAACAGAGATGTGATTGTTCTCTTTCCGCTCCGGCAGCAGTGAAGTCGTGGCTTGTTTCTGCCAGTTGACGGCGACGGTTTAAGTGCTTCAGAGGCGGAATGTCGTTTCCAACGGAGACTTTGTGTTGCTCGGCGCTTTTCCAGGGTCAGACGATGCTGAACGGCTAGTCGGCTCGTATCCATTACCCTGTGTTGGTGGTAGAGCTCTGGGGTTTGTTTTGAAGAATTCTCCTTGTCGTGTTTGGGACATTTCTTTGTGTGCATCCGGAGAAATTTGCCTCAAAGCCACACGGAGGCTGTGAAGCCGAAGCTCTTCGGTTCGTCTCGGTGTTTGCACTGGTCAACCACGTCAGCTATAGTAACTGATAAACTCGGAGAACATCTGTTCTCTTTGGTTCCCACGTTTATTCAGCTGAAACCCGTCAGAGTGACCTCCTATGACCATGGCTCCCATGGGTATCCGGCTGTCACCGCTCGGTGTGGCGGTGTTTTGCCTGCTGGGAGTCGGTGTCATTTACCACCTGTATGCCGGGGTCTTCTCCAACCACCTGTCCTATTTCAGGTTGGATTTTTTTTTTCTTCCTGTATAGGAAAGTCATATCATCTGACGCAATTCTTATTGCAAGTCCATTGGATGTTATTTTGTCCTGTCTACTCGAGCCTACCTGATTTTTTCCATTTTTCTTCTTCCTACTTCTCCATTTCTTTTCTCTTTGAGGTATTACCTAATGTCTCTGATTTCGACAGATCAAACTGGTGTTTTTTGGCTTAATCAAACCTGTCTGGATGCTTGATAGATATAAAACCATACAGCAGATGTGCAGGATTTTCAGTTTTTTATATGACAGTGAAAGATCAGAGGATTAATTTAAAGAGTTTTGGAGCCAGGTTGATTAAGATTTCAAAGTCACTTTAGTCTGTCTGAATGCAGTCCTGCTCCTCAGACACTTGCTGCAGTTGCTGAAGAGACTTCAGTAGACAGGACCGTGTGCCACACCCTAATTGACAGTGTCTCTGCACCTGGAAAGTGTGAATGTGGACTTTGTTTTGTACTTTTAAATAGTTTCAGTTTTTTTTTTCTGACTACTGAGAGATGGACTGATTTTAAAAAGATTATGTCTTTGTTGCTGCTTCAGAATATTAAATTTTCAATCATCTGCTTTTAAAACAGGATTAAAAAAAAAATTCCGATATGAACCTTTCTTCTGTCGTCTTGCGTCTCCAGGCAAAGGAAAAAGGTGGACCTGAGAGACCTGTTAGCTGTCTCTGTGGAGGCTGCACAACTGGGTGGGAAAGAGGTAAACGCAAACCTTTTCTTCATATTGTCTATGGACTACTGTGTTGAAACATTTTATATGTAAGTGGAGCTAGACTGTAATAACTGTTTATATCGCCCTGATATTAATTATATTATTAATGATAATGGTTTAAAAGTTACTGACTTCTCCTGTGTACTTGTGGGTTCTCTCCAGGTACTCTGGCTTGCTCCCACTGATGCCACTGGCCTCTCTTTTTTTTTTTTTTTTCTAAACCCAACATCTAGACGCCAATCTCCGTTATGATTTCTCCCTTTATGCTGTATCTGCTGGCTGAACACATAGCTCCTTTCTGTCTAGGTGAAAAGAGTCCGCGAAGAAGACACACTCAACGAGAAGTCAAAGGGGAAAACAAAAGAGGGAGCTAAAGAGCTTCTGACTATGGGGGACCTGCAGTCGCACCGGAAGATGTACAACCTAATAAAGAACACGTTTCCTGAAATCACTGTGAGCAAATGTATTATCATAAACTATGCTTTGATTTTGTGTGCGGTTGAGACGAAAATATCCATATCCAAGCGGTCATACCCGAATGTTTTGGTATTTAGGTGTACAGCGAGGAAAGTGACAGCCAACCAGATTCGGTGTCCTGGAGCAGGAACATACCTGATGACATGCTGAAGCTGGAGAAAGGCAGGGAGGTTTCTGCTGATAGCATCACTGTGTGGATTGATCCTTTGGATGCTACTCAAGAATACACAGGTGGGTCGGCATCACTATTTCTGTGATTTCATTCAAGTCCAACGTTATTACCTCATCTTCCCTTGTTTCGCTTGAACTTTGGAAAACAGTGGAGTCGTCCGATGACCCCATATGCTCCTTTTTTTCTTTCAGCCGTGTTGAACAATATGCTTGTGTAGAACTGGTTCTCTGAAGCTGCTTTTCAGCCTCTGAGAACAGCCGACACTGTCACTCTAATTGTTTAGCATTTTGTTTAGCACTACTATGGGAGATTTTATGAAAAGTATGTATAGAAAGGAATATAGCCAGTTATTTATTATTTAATTAATTATTCATTTAATTATTTGTGTTTAGAGCGGCACAGAATGTGTCAAATGTATTATTATTATTTATTTGTAGTAGTTTGCTCATTTATCCCAAGTGCTGCATCTTTAATGCTAATGTTGCATCCAGTTTTACAGCAACAGATACTCAGCCTGGATACAAATGCCTGTTTTCTGTTTTACCCTGTAACTTTATCTTTCCACAGAGAAATTGGTGAAATATGTGACCACTATGGTGTGTGTTGCTTTAGAGGGTAAACCAGTCATTGGTGTCATACACCAGCCATTTACAGGGTTTACTGGTAAGTTGGGGCATCTGTGAAGAGATGTTTTATCCCTAACTTTGGATGTGTTTTTGTTATTAAAAAAAAAAAAAAAAAGCCTTATTGTAATCTAAAGTGTCTTTATGCTACAAAAAAATGCAAGTATATAAACTTGTTCTCTTTCTCTGCCCTGCTTCTGTCTCTATCATTGCCTCCTCAGCCTGGGCGATGGTTGGTCAGGGAACAAACATGGAGCACAGATCGTCCTACAACCTCAACTCGCCAAAAGTGATCGTATCACGGTCACATTCTGGGGAAGTAAAAAACTTTCTTCATTCTGCCTTTGGAAACAGCACAACAATAATCCCAGCAGGTGGCGCAGGTGAGCAGAGAATTCTTGGTCCTTTTCATGTTGGCATTTCAGGAACATGAAACACATTACCTGCTGTTGTGATGACCAGGAGCCTATTGCTCAAAGATTCGTGTGGAATGTCTATTAAAGAGTGGCATTAGTTGAATTAGAAAAAAAAAGTATGCATGTATCCAAGCACATCTTCTTTGGAGATTCCAAAGATTGAGTGCAGAGGTGGAATCAGCAGAAACGCTTTTAAATATGCAAAAAGATGTAAATAAGCCTTGGGAAACTTGTGTTTTTGTGAGAAGAAGAGGAAGCTAATATGGTGCAAGTAGGAGGCGTCATTGACTACTTGCATGTTTTATGTGACATTTTTTAATGTCCACTGTTTACCTGAATTGCGCAATGTAAACAAATTCAGAAGTGCATTTGGAACTGGTGAGGCTGCTGTTTTTCAGTCTCCAAATTCATGCTCCTTTCACAATTGAATGTGGTCTTGAAGTATTGCCAGGGCTTCTAATGAATCATTTATGCATGCTTTAAAAAGCTCTCATGTAACTGCAGACATAGATACTTGAATTATTCATCATGTCAGGCGCACAATTGTTTTCACAAAATCAGCAGTTTCGCAGCATATCCTCCAGGTGTCGCCAGTGCGGCCAGTAAAAACTAAAATAATAAAGAAAAACATTTTCTGAGTTTTAAATTTGAAAAACAAATGATTTAAACAGGTAGTGTAGACTTTTGAGAGCCGCTATCACCAACTCAATGACGTATTGCTTAGTGCAGTGTGTTGATTCAGTAGCATTTGTCTCTTTCCTCTCAATGTAAGCAGTTTCTGCCTTTCTCAAATAATTGGATTAGAGTTATTGAATTGTCATTTTTCTTTATAATCCTTAAGCAAGCAGCAGCCATTTGTGTTAAGAAGGTTCTTTAAATCGACAGGCTACCAGGCATTTCAGCCACAGTGTTATGTTTTTTGTCTAACAGGATACAAGGTGCTATCGCTGTTGAAGATGCATTCAGGCCAAACAGAGCCTATAGATGAAGCAGATGTTTACATCCACATCACCTACATTAAGAAATGGGACATCTGCGCTGGTGCCGCACTACTGAACGCACTTGGTAAAAACATAGCTATTTGTTGATTTATTTTTTTCTCCACAAACTTTTATACCTTCTTTATATGATTACCAGAGACTTCAGATGAGAGGGATGAGGTGCTTAAACCCTCTGAAAGCTCTAGTTTCACATTTCTTCCCAGTAGGGAATGTATCCAGGGTATTAAGGCCTTAAAATGTCTTAAAATTATTTTTTTAATGCAAGTTGGCCTTTAATATGTCAGTCTTAATTTGAATGTTGTCTTTACAGGCTTTATTTATCTTTTACATCTTATGGTTTGTTCCCCTTCCTTGCGGGACTTGTTTGAGTCACACTCGAACATCTTCATTGCATTCTGAAATGGTTGAGGCTACCGCTAACTAGCTGCTAATATACCTTTACTAGCTATCTAGCTTCTTTGCATCTATCATAAGTCTGACCTAATGTCAAATATCCTGTGTTTGGTTTATGAACCCAATTTGTTCTAGCGCACAATTAATTTACAAATGAACCAGTTTCTTATATTTTTGAACACTGACAAAGAGAACAGAAACCCATTAGCTGATATAACTCATTTTTAACTCTTAATTCTGATATTGGTGAAATTCATTTAGACTTATCTGTCTAATAACCATTCATTTTCTTTACAGGAGGCCACATGACCACTCTGAAGGGGGAGAACATCGACTTCAGTGGAACTCCTTTGAACAAAGGAGGACTGGTGGCCAGTGTTGAGGTGGATCATAAGGACATACTGGCCAAACTTCCATACTGGGACCCTTCAAAGAACTGAAAGACAACCACAGAACCATTGCCAGCTCTGGCTTGTTGTGCCGAGGCTTCCATGAAGAAGAGATGATTAAACATCAAACGTTCATGTTATTTTTTTCTTTTTTTCGTTTGCAAGCTGGGCAGGGATTTGCTCTCTACACCAACCTGGCCTACTGAACAGGACTGTGACCAGCATAGTTACCACAATGGTTCTTGATTCGTACTCCTGCATGTAGCTATCTACATGCATCATTCATCCATCTCATGTGAAACCGCATGCTCACAAGGAACTGTGGGAAAACAGTGGACCCTTCTATGTCTCCTCCTTTCACCTGCACAGGAGAACAGGGGGACTTTAATGTGAAATTCTCTGGAGCGCACAGATGAACATTGCAGAAGAAACTCTGGAGCTCAGCATCTGCTTCCACCATCGTGGATGTCGTTTTTTTTTTACTATTTTTTTTGTCATATTTCAAAAGAGCATAACTAATTTAGAAAGAAATGTTTCAAAGAGCATCAGACATTAACCCATCCCAGCAACTAATGAAACTCTGGATTTTGACTAAATCTACGGGCTACTACGGTGAAAAAATCCTTTTATTTTTTATTTAAGTCCTTTATCTTTTATTAACATTACATCAAGATGGGTTAATTGAGAATAAGTTAAATATGAGCAGAGAACTCAAATTGTGGCCAAGAGAGAAATTGATCGACCAGATTTGTGTTGAGGCTTCCATGTTTAACAGATAATTGAGCAAATCGGTTCAAAACTTTTATAAAATAACTAACAAAAGTTGTTGGAGTCGCAGTGGGAACACAAGAAAGGATTTGATGTTGAATTTAATAACTCAACACTTTTAATATCCAGAATTTGTGCAACCATAAATGTTTGAAATTGGTACTTTTTACTTATCTATTCAAAACTCATTTAGCAAAAGAAGTGACATAGTCCTTCACCTAGCCCCAGCACTTCTCCACTCCAAACTGTTTGTTTTGATGGTTCTCGATTTAGACACCACCGTGGAAACCACGCAATAGACTTGTAAAAGTCAGAAAGATTTTTCAGTAAGAGAAACCAAATCCTACTTGGAAAAAGACATTATTCCTTCCTCGTTTCTGCCTACATGTGGCTTCAAAGCCCTGAAGTGTGCATGCCTGGTTTGGATTTTTGCTCTTGACGAATCCCTGTTTCCTTTGACTACTGTTTGTCTTTCTGAACTGTGTCGGTCGTATCTGAGTCACTTTTGACTTTGTGTTCAGTTGAAAAATACCAGCAGAGATCTCACGCGAGTGTCTGAAGAAGATGCATTTGTTAAAGGATCTTTTCATGTTCATTTTGATCGCTTTTGTGTTAATGTGTAGCTTAAACTCCGTCTAGGTCAGAAATTAAATATTGAAACGGTTTCCTCTGCCACCGGTTGACAAGACTTGACAAATAGAGATAGATGTAAGGAATGATCTGGGCGGGTTGGCTATAACATAAAAACATGGAGAAGTCAGAGCTGTTACGCTTGAGTTTCAGTTTTATGTTTTCAGTGCCTTTGCTTGGACAAAACCACGTTGTCGCTGTAAGCTACATTAGCAATGCAGACAGCAACGCTCGCCGCCATCAGTTGCTGTGAAAATGACATGGACACTGTTTGGGGTGTGACTTTGGATACACCCCTTTAAGACTCTCATGCATGTGTACTTTAACACTTTTTCACATCACTGTGTTGTGACGTGCTTGGGAGTACCACTTTAGACATGAAAAAAGTCATTTTTTACAAATCCATACATTTATAAATGTAGAAGGAAAAACAGATGCGTGTGTAGAATACCTGACCGCCGTAGACTGCTGCTCAGCTTTCCTCAAGGCTGCACACGTTTAAGCCTCCAATCAAGCCGCCATAGTTAAAGGTTGGGGATTTTGCTACTAGGTTGCAATGTTGCAGAGAACAACGCAAAAATACAACGTGTGTATCGTCTGTAGCCGTGAGCGTGGATTTCTCAAAGGTGCACCACGTGTACCTGTGTCTTTTTCCAAGTAGTCATGCCAACCAGACTCTGTCATGTTGTAGTTGGATATCTTGGAGACATTTTCTGGTGTTCGCTACTTCTGTCGTTTTTAATGTGATTTGGGGGATTTAGTAGCGCTGCTCTTTTTCAGTTTTTCTTCGCATGGCTACTGGGTTTGTAGGAAAATCATATGTTTGTGTCTACCTCTCTGCCAGTGTTTCACTTGCTCTCTTTAAAGTCGGGTGATTTACACATTGAAAGAATGCAAAAGCCAAAATAGAAGCGATTCAGAGTACATGAAGGGGGTTTTTGATCAACTAAAGTAGAAAAACCTTTAGTTACTGCTGAAGTAAATTAAATTGATCTTTGTCAATAGTGTCTTCTATTCCCTCAAATAACATGGTCAAATTTTACATTAACAGAAATGACAAAGAAAAACCCTGCAAATCTGCTTGAGCTGACTATTTTGCCTTTAAGCAGCATGAAAGCTAGATATAAAAACCATCCAGGCTTTTAATGTGTTACTGAATTTAAAATAAAAAAGTCAAAGTGTGAATGACCACCCTATGGTTTTAAAAAGACTAGTTTTTGGTCTGATTTTCTTTCTATTTTCTGTTTCTCATTTGGTAAACGGTATGTACAGTTTCCATGAGTAATTCATTTTGCTTCTGTGAATTTCCAATAAACTGTGCATGAAAGGATGAACTGTCTACTCTGATTTTTTTTTTTTGTAAGTTAAATGTCTCTTATCAAGACTTAAACATTCATGTTCACACATGAATCAGCTTGAGACGTTTGCTGTTTGTAGACATTTGCTACACTTTCCAGATTATTTTCTTTTAAAAGAAACCATATGTATTTTTAAGTACAACAAGGTTTGTGGGTAAATTGTCACAACATGGGACGAACTTGAATATGGATAAATGCACTCTAAATGTAATCACATTTTTCTTTTCTGTTTTAGAATTGTGTTCAAAACAAATATTTTAGTAGAAATCTTGTTTCTATATTAATAATTCTAATGCTCTGTGATGGTCTGACAGCCTGTGCAGGGTGTACACCACCTCTTACCCTCTGACCACTGGAGCCAGGAGCTCCCACTGTGACTATGCAGGGACAAGTGGGTATAGAACGCTGAAGGATAGATGCCAATATATTTCAGTGTTTATAATTAATGTTCTCAAAATTAGCGTTTAGCTGAGCCTTTCCGACTCTTTGATCTTGGGGTCGAGCGACTTGTTGTCTCAGTTGTGCCTGTTAAAAAAAAACAAAACAAAAAAACAGCCAACATAGAAGAGATGTTAAAAATAATAAATTAGAATACATTAAAAAGTTGTAAACCTGAAGCACAATCTGGACATAAATGCAATACCTGCAGGAGGTTCATTTGCGGCAGCGATGAGAGCATCCAGTTCCTTTTCTGGACAGGGACAAACATAATTTAGAGTCATTTCCACTCATTATAATCTACATTGCTGAGATAGACCTCACACACCACTCTGTGTGAGATGATCAATGCAATCTGTCTGGGAGTATCTCTTGGCCAGGTCCAGAGGCGTCTCCTCTCTGAAGGTCTTGGCCTTTAAGTCGGCGCCTAGTTCAAGCAGGGTCTTAACTGTGTCCAGATGGCCCCAACAAGCAGCAAGATGCAGTGACGTATACCCTAAAAATACAACAACTCAGCAGCATAACAAGGTGATGGCTTAACTGTACTATATTAAATGTATAAAGGTCAATCCTGCATAAGAATTCAAACTTGCACCCGTGTTTTTGGTATCTGATTATGCACTAAACTGAAGCGTATTGTGAAATAATAGACCCCAGTGCGTCACTCAGTTCATCCCCTCTCACCTCTGACGGTTTGCTCGTCCATCTTGGCGCCTTGTTTCACCAGTTCACGGACAACGCTGCTCTTTCCCAGCATGGAAGCGACCAAAAGGGCATTTCTTCCCATCTCGTCCACTTTTCCAAACAAATTGGTCTCCTCGGGCTCTTCGGTAGGGTCATAACTTTCCAGAACCTGCTGTAAGTCTTCCACGTCTCCCGAGAGGACGCTGTTGAATATTTCATCCTGTATTGATGTCATTGCCATCCCGAGAATGGCAGCTGCCATGGTTACCGCGTCAGTCGGTGTTGCATTAAAGGACGTTCATATGTTACCGCACAGAAGGTGATGCTTTTTTTTTTATTGATGTAGTTGTTTTTTTTTTTGTTTGTTTTTTTACATTTGTTTGTAAAACTAATAAAACAAAACAAATGGGGAACCACATAACTTTTACAGACATATCCTGCATTTTTTTCAGCATTGTATTTTACTACTTTCTCTTTAAATTGTGCCTCTTTCTGGAAAAGTAAAAGCAAAGTGTGATTTCTTACTCTTCTTTACTGAATTTTTCTCGTTAGTAGTCTTATCCTCAGTACGGTCGCCGCTTTTCGACGCGGAAACGTTTGAATATATGAAGCAACGTAAAACTAAGCCACATTCCCACCACATCAGAAGTACTTGAACGCATCCTTGACTCTAACGTGGAGCACATGCCACTGCTATCGTGTGGTTCCATGGTGTAATGGTTAGCACTCTGGACTCTGAATCCAGCGATCCGAGTTCAAATCTCGGTGGGACCTTCTTATTTGCCAATAACAAAGGTTGCTTTAAAATTGTGATTTTGTACGTTCAACAATTAATCAAATTCAGTCTACTAAAGTAAACTGACCTCATTCCCCTGTTTCTGCTCAAATCTAGATAACCTTCTGAGTTTCCAGGATTATTTTAATATTTCATCAAACATTCTCTGTTAACGTTCCATAAATATGTCAGTAACAATAAAATTTTTCTGTGACAGTAATCTTCAACATAATATTTGACTCTTTCTTATCAAATAGATCTCAGACTGAGTGGTTAGCTCAGGCAGCAACGCAAATCTTGACTTTTTTTTCTGCGGTATGGCTCATTTTTGTGCGTATTTGATTTCGTAACAAATATCACTTTTTTAAGGATGTGGGTCCAAATGTAAGTAACATATTTCAGTGACTGGCGGTCAGGGAGTCATTGTAGAAAAATAATATATAACGATATAATTATTTATATTTCTCTTTTCACCTTGTGGTTTGTACTGTAAAGTACCTATTTTCCATATAGCTACTCTGATTGTTTTTTCTTAAAAAAAGAAAACGTTTGTGAGTTTCACTTTATTTTGAAATGTAGTTCTACAACTTCCTACCGGAAGCACCGCGCAGCCTTCGCTCTTCTCCGCTTTGCTAAGACGGAAGTGAAGGGAAACAGTCAATCGACGTGTGGGTCGCAAATTTCTGCAGCGAGGACTTTGTCAGTTTTCGCTCCACAGTTTCTTCTATAGTGTTACGTCGGTACTACTTTCAATGATGTTTAACAGGCAAAACAGCCTGTGGATGGGTGACGTAAGTCCTAATCTCTGGTTTCATTTCCCAACGTTAGTTTAGCCGCGCATATAGCTAGCTTGGTTAGCTTTGACGAACCATGAAAACAGACATGCCTCCCCCGAAGTGCTCAGTGTGTGTGGCTCAAAACTCCTCTCTAGAACTAAATGGTGGCCTAAATGATCTAAAAGTTCGGTTTAATAAAAGCGTGAATATGTTTAACTTGCGGATAAGCGCTTTTTTCATGCCGCAGGAAACGTTAGCGGAATGTAAGCTAACAGTTAACAAGACTAGACCTCACAAGACCTACAGCGTTAAAGACCTCATAACCCTGGAGGGGTCGAAAATAGTTTATTAGTAGAGGGAAGTATCGTCTTTTATCCAAGCGGAAATGCTCACGTAAAAAGAAGTTGCAGCACATGAACAAAATGACACGAGTGTAGTCTGACTAACTTTAGTAGTCTTTGCTGTTTTTACACAAACTTACTGTTTGTTGTCTTCATGACTTACTTTATTAACTGTGCGTTATTCGTTAATTGTTTTTATTCCTTGGTTAAAAACATGCCAGTGCATTGTTATCTATACTAGGGATTTGAAGTTTTGCAAAACTTTGTCAAACTTTCTCTGCCTTCATGTTTAAATCATGCAAGTGATTACAAATTGTTTACATGTACAATAATCAAGCCAGCGAAAGTCGCAAAGTTTTTATTTAGTAATATTTGGTAAAGATTGTTTCTAAATGTGACGCGACCTTATTCTGAGTCCTATGTTTTTATTTGATAGGAACATAAGTTAACTCTTTTATTTATTTCTAGTTGGACCCATATATGGATGAGAACTTTGTCAAGCAGGCCTTCAGTGGTATGGGAGAGTCACCGTTGGGAGTCAAGATCATCACTCACAGGATAACAGGGTAGGAGATACAGATCACGACTGATCAGATATGATTTTGTTGTTAAAGCCTTTACATTTTCAAGGAGATTGTACATTTTTAGACCTTTTGGATGAATATTAAGTTAACGTTGCGCCTTTCCCCATAGCTGCTTCATCCCCCTGTAAAAAAAATAAGTATTTTTTTTTCCTTTATCTACTTGTCTTTCTTTTGCTTCACTTTTTCATTTTGTTTCCTTTGTCTTTCCACAGTGGCTCAGCGGGTTACTGTTTTGTGGAGCTGGCAGACGAAGCGAGCGTCGACCGCTGCGTACAAAGACTCAACGGAAAACTGGTTCCAGGATCAAACCCGGTAAGCTGTTTGATTTAGCAGCAAAAATATTCACTTTTTTTTTTTTCAGTAGCTCTCATATCAGAAATAAATGTTTCTCTATTGATATCAATACATTGACAGTTTCTTGCCATCTTCCTTTTCTCAGCATTAGACTTGGGCCTTTTCAGTGCTTAGCTCTTTTATTGTACACAGTGGAGCTCTGTCCGCCTCATAAGTACTTTGTGTTATGAATACACACCTGCATAGAAGTAGAACATTTGAATATTTCTGGTCAGTTTAACCCACTAGTACTTGTGCCATTTTAATAGTTTTATGTGGCTTTATGTGACAAATGCTGGACAATAAGGCCTGTTGATGTAAAGCAACAAATGTTCCCATCCCGAAGATGCCGGTTTCATGTGGTGTGTGACATTATGAGCAATGAGCTGCTTGGCACTGCTTGGTTTGAAGTACTGTTGGCCCAGTGGGCCGGCCAAGCTATGGGCTGCCCTGTTCATAGAGTCTCTGGTAGGAACTAACTGAGGAAGGGGCTAAAGGCTGGTCTGGGTGGTGGAGGTATGTAAACCTAAATAACAATAATAACGCCACTTTTTGTTTCCAGCAATATCAGTGCTATACTACACGTCTTTGGTGTTTGAGGTTGCCTTAATGTCTGTGTTCCTTTTTTTTTCCCCCCACACTTGCAGCCCAGGAAGTTTAAGCTAAATTATGCCACATACGGGAAACGTCCAGAAGCAGGGTAAGATCTGAAATGTATATCCTACTTTTACCTTCTTTTAGAGGTTGCTTTCACACCTTCTGTCTGTATAATACTTCTACATTTCTTCAGATGTAGCACAGTTGTTACAGTAGCTTCTCCCAGGGTTTTATGACGAGCCTCGTTCCCAAAATAGCCCCAATGTCCAAACTTAGTGTTTGCACATGTCGCGCAAGTTGGCTGGGCACAAACAAAGTAGCACTAATGACATCATAAACATAGATTACAAGATCTAATTTTAACCATGTTAGTTGTGGTGCGTTTACTGATCAGAGAAAGATTATGGTTTTTCATGGTCTGTTCAACTGTTGGGGATGATCAAGATTAAGTTTAGCTACTTAGTTTCCTGCTTGCTGTCTTGGTGTGTCTTTAACTGTGACTGTTAAAAGCCAAATAAACAATAGAAAGTTTTAATTGAATAAGAAAAAAATGTTAAACTTCAAATTTTTTCCCCTTAGGTAATTCAGACCATTCACCTTATTCATTTAGCTGCTATTCTAAAACTAAGAACATTCTCATAGTTTTGTCAAACGTGAAGCTACATTTTGCTACTTGACCGTATTGTTTAGAACAAATCACTAAGTCCTTTATGCTTCCTCACACCAGTATGTGTGCACAAATAGACATTTGAATCTTTTTCTTTTCCTTTTTGCTCTTTCAGGCCGGAGTTCTCAGTGTTTGTGGGAGACTTGGCCTCTGAAGTGGACGACTTTCAGCTGCATCAGGTCTTTAAGAAGTACCCTTCCTGCAAAGGAGCCAAAGTAGTCACCGACCAGTACGGCTATTCAAAGTACGTGAACCCCTCTGTGCGTTTTTAATTTAATTCATTTTTTTGTGCTTTATTATTAAACTTGGTTACTCGGATAGCAGTGCTTTGGACGTTGACCACCAGAGCATCTTCATCTGTTTTCGAAAAAGGCTGAAGAAATGTTTTCCTGCCGTCTTATGCTAAAACTATTGTTTTCCCCATATAGGCTAAGCAAGAGCAACTCACAATTCAAGTGATGCTACCTCATGTTAAAAGTAAAACAGCAAGTTTCAGTTCTACCATAATAATACCCATTATATTCTGTTTCTCATAAGTGGCTAATACATGGCAAGTATGTGGCACGAACTGGTGGGCAGAGGAGGCGTAACTTTGGTCTGGTTTTTCAGAGGCTACGGCTTCGTCAAGTTTGGTGACGAGAGCGAACAGAAGGCGGCGATAGAGGAGTGCCAGGGAACCATGCTGGGGGGGAAAACCCTGAGGCTCAGCATCGCTGTGGCTAAAAGGTACGACGCAACAAGCAAGCACAAAACAGAAAGCAAGTTTAGAGGAGGAGTTAGAAATTTATTTATCTACTATAGAGGCGTTTTCATTTTTTCCTTGCGTCCCTCCAGCCTTAAACCCTCATCATGTCTAGCTCCGTTTTTTTGTTTGTTTCCTACTTGTTGACCTTTTCGTTCTGTCCTTTGGCCTCCTCATTTTATTTCCAGTTTCTTGTTGTCACAGATTACAAATTTAAAGCAGGTCCTGGGTAGAAATATTTCCTCAAGATTCCTAACTTGAACTTGCAATATTTTAAAATGCAGGCACAGGAGCTCAGGAAACGTCTAAGTGATACACGTGTAGTAACCCTATGATATCAGTTTGGTCTTTGTGTATAGATTTATTTATTTTTATTCCTTCCTGCAGATTGTTGGAATCAGAAGTGAATCAGATCAACTGCAGCTATTGCTGTGCAAAACAATCAGTACTTTTTAAGATGTTGACCAGACTCTTCATTTTGTGTCAACGCTTGCTGCTTATTTTAAAGGCTGTATTGTAAATATTGTTGTTTTTGATGTACTAGTTTTAATTAGACAGTGTTGCCTTACAAAATGAAGAGTTGTTGAGAAAAAAAGCATCCTTTAAAAACAAAAATATCAATATTGATTTTGGAAATTTATGTCAGACTTAAAAAAAACCATCAAATTAAAACATTGAATTGTAATTTTGCAAATGTATTTTAGGTTTGTGAAAGTAGCTAAAACTCTGGGGTGTTAATTATAAACAGATGATAATCTTAGGGTTTAATATTTTGCCTTGAATTGATTAATTAATAGTTAAACCAGAAAATAGTTTGTTCACAGATAAAACTGCAATTCATTGGCTTGAAATAAGTGCTACATACTGACAAAGGGATGAACTGACCTGATCTAAAACTTAAAAGTGCTAATAAAGCTTAAGGTCAAGGCCTTCAGCATTTTTAAGTTTTACAGAATAATTCAGTTCAGCCGGTTGTAGATTGGCAATATTTCAAAGCTACATTTTTGTTGTTGTTTTTCAGCCAAAAGACAACCTACCCAGGAGGCCAGACTCAGAGTTACAGTAGCTACAACCCGACACAGTCGGGTTACTACGGCAGCCACGCAGCAGGAAGTCAGGGCGGTTACTATCCTCAGTGGGGGAGCTATGACCAGTACAGTGGCTACAACAGCAGTGGTTACGGCTACACCAGTGGATACAACAGCGGCTACAATAGCAGCTACAACAGCGGCTACAACTATAACTATGGGGCTTATGGTTACCCCCCACCAGGTCACATGATGCCCCCGCCTCCTATGGGGATGCCACCCATGTCCACCGACATGACGGGAGCCGTACAGGTAAAAGAAACAGATCAACTGGTGCCAGTCACTTGTCTGTAAGCTATTTTACAGATAAACATGTTAAAACATAGGCTGTAATTTGATGAACCTACAATATGGTTATATAAATGTTTTGGAGCTAACTGTCAACAATACCTGTAGGTAGCAATAGCATTAGCTCAGTGATGCTAACAGAATAAAGAAAAGCACAATCTGTTTTTCTGGTTGCAGATTTGATGTATTTAAATTAGTATTGATGTATTTTTACAATTCTGATGAAAGTTTTAGTTGTTCTTTTATGGTGACAATAGTCTTACTCGTTGTGTCCAGCAGGGCCAGGAGCAAGCTGAAGATGCTGAAGATGACAGCACAGAAGGTAAAAATCCTCGATTGCTTTTGAATAATCATTATTTCTACAGGAAACAATTCAACTCATAAACAGTACCTGTCTATTAAACCTTTATGGAGGAGAAGCAGCATGGGTCATTTTTTCCTGATGATCTTGATGGGATTTATTCCAGAGCCCATCCCTGAATGCGACGTGGAGCTGTGGAACAAGGACTTTATGCAGCACAGTGAGGAGCTTTATGACGCTTTGATGAACTGTCGGTGGGAACCGTTGGACTCTGTCGACTCCCCCATCCCAACCTTCTCCTGATGTCTCTTTCATCAACCAATACTTCAAGTTCTTTTTGTAAGTCATTTTTATACGTCCAAAATGTGTCGCAGCAATCACATCTTAGAACACGGCGGCCAGAGCTCTGCGTCTTACAAAGAGAGGCCGATCGTAGATTCAGTCACTGTTCTTCCTCTGCAGACACTGCAAACAGACATTGAGTGGATCAGATTTGTCAGCCTTTTGGTAGCAAACGGGAAGTTGATGAAGAAGTACGAATACTGTGAAGATCAGGTGGTCTCTGTTCAGCAGAACTAGAAGAGCTGGAGCTGACTGGCACTCAGAGGATGTTGTGTGGCTATTAATGATATCGAGGAACAAACATCAGGTTCCAGTGTTCACCAAACTCAACGTTTCTTTCAGTTTTATATCGTCCCTCGGATCATTATGCAGATAAGAAGTCAGTTCTGTTTGGGTTTTTATTTAAGGACTCTTATGTTCCTCTCTCTGTTGGTTTGCTGAATTTTAAACTGGATTGTGGGACGAAGGCGGCAGCATGGAGCTGCCGAAAGACAAGGAAATGTTTTCAGCATCCGGATGGAATGGGATGGATGAATGGTGTGCATCTCTGAGATGTTTTAGAGGCGGCGCAGCTGTAAGGTTTGTGTGAAGAACCAGCTGAACTGATGGTAGCCGTTATTTTCTGCTGCTTAGTTGAATAATATTTTGTATATATTGTCTTTCTGAAGATGTTTTATCAATAAACTATTAAATACCATAGTGGTTAATTTTTGTTTTAATAAATGTAATTTTTTTTAAATGGGGTCCTAAAGTAAACGCGAAGTCACGTCACCAACATTATCTTCTTTCTTTTGTAAAATTACTATGCAAAATGTTTGATTGTTTGACATTAAACATACATTTTTTTTCTCTTCTAATACTTATTTACTTCTTAGTAATAGATCTTTTACTTAAACAGGTTCAGATATGTTCATTACATTTTGCACAAATTAATCCTTTAATATTGAGATTTTAGTTTGATTTGTCTAGTTTGAGCTGCTTCCGGAATTGTTTTAGGGTCTGTCACTTTAAATCCAAATAAGCTGCTGCTGTTGACCATGCCCCCCCCAAACAATGTTTACACTCACACATGAAAATGGCTGCAAACACATGTGCAATTGTATAAACTTTCATCCCTGAAAAGCAGAAATAGATCCTCTTAAACAAATGGCAAAATATTGTCTTTTCCAGCAGCCATTGTACAATAGTAAAACGAGCTGGCCAAACATGGTGGGTTTTCTTGGTTTGGTAGGTAACAGCCCGGTGCCTATTGACTGTGACTTAACAATCGGAAGGTTTTCAAAACCTTCCGATTGAAAATGATTTGGTGTCATTTTCTGGACACCGAATCATATTAACTTACTGCCAAAAACATGACTTGGTTGGTTCTTTTTGGAAGCACTTGTGACCTAAATAGTGACCTTTCATTTGCACAATATATTCCCTTTAAATTGTGCGACATATATAAGGAAAATGTTTGAAACACCATTAATGCAACATAATGACAGGTTTACTCATAGAGAGTGAAAGAAAATGTCGAATCTTTCCAGGCAAAGTTTTGTTGAAGATTCAAAGACTTTTAATGTTTAAGCTCAAAGCGCTGAATCTACTATCAGTTAATTGTAGTGATTGTGGTTTAGTGAGTCTTCCTCCACGGTGCTGCTGGTCTTTATGTTGAGCAGTCCCTCACCAGGCCTTCCTGGGCAATACCAGCTGGGCCCCATGCGGTACCAGCCCTGATACAGTCCCCTCCAGCTGAGGCAGCCTAGCGCCCCTCCCAGCAGCTGAGTGGGGAAGTGGGGGAAGTAGGCTAAGAGACAGAGCAGCAGGAAGATCCACAGTCCAAGAAGGAGAACACAGAGCAAAAAGAGGATCCTCAGTGGGGCGTCCGAGATGCCCCCAAGCCTCAGATATGGACCAAACACTGACATTTCCTCTGCCAGCAGCAGGCAGCACAAACACAGCAGGAAGACGTCCTCTGAAACCTCATAACCTCGCCACTCCATCCCAGCTTTCAGGCACTCGGACTTGCTCTCCCCCTCTTTGAGCACCAGCAGAGGCTGCCCACCGGTGACCTCTGGACCAGCGGGCAGCGGTTCATAGCAGCTTCCTGTGGTGTTCTCCAGGAGGTCCAGCAGTTTACAGAAACAAAGCCAGAGCCCTCCAGCCACGGCGAGCCTGCTGAGGTGACGGAGCGAGTGCAGGACGGAGCCGCGGATGGAGTAGGAGAAGAGGAAGATGAAGGGCCCGACGAAAACGGACGTCCAGCCCCAACCAGAGCGCAGGAACAACCTGGAGGACAGAGGGGAGGAGCAGACGGCGTCTGTAGGAGGGTTTTACCTGGAACATGCATATTTAATTAGAAACATTTCAAGCTTTATATATAAAACATGCTTTATGTTGAACAAAAAGTGCAATTAAGGTTGTCATTTGTTAGTAGGTTCAGTAAAAATATATTGGCAAGTCATTTTTATTTTGTATATGCACAAAAGCTACAATAAGCGAAAGAACAAAAAACTGTAACAATATGGGGGAATTCTTGATTAAATAGTATTTAACACAAATTGAGTCTTTATATACATGTTCAGGCCTGCATCTGTGATGTGAAGTTTGTCAATTTTTTCCATTTACTCTTGTGTCAATCAAGCATAGTCAAAGTCTGGGCCTATGGCACAAGACTTTGATCTGCTCAGCAAAGAAGAATAGTCCCCTCCCTCAACTGATGGTCCAAGAAGTCATCACTTTTGGCCAAAAAAATAACTTATTTTAGGACAATACTATTTAACAATACTGTATATAAAAACCCTGAGAACAACAAATGGAGAAAACTGAAAATAAAAAAGAAAAACATTACAACTGGAGGGGAGAGGGAGGCTAAACAGGAAGTGATCCTACCTGTAGAGGAAGTAACTTCTCTTGGCAAAGATGCTGTGATGGGAAACCCAGAGGCTCAGCGCGGGGCCGAACACCAGGACAGCCGAGAGCAGCAGGTGGAAATGCTGCCTGAACAGCTTATTACCGAGCAAGCTGGCAGCCAGGTCTGTCAGCACCACCAGCACCGTGTTGAGGAGCATCTGAAAGCAACAGCAGCAACTGAGTCCAGGACCAAACTAAGACAGGAGAGTCAGCGTTTGATGGCAGCAGTCTTGTTCCATACAGCAGTGGCCCCCCCAGACCCCCGGGGGCCCATCCAGCAAAACCCCCCAACATCCCAAACGTGAGTTTAGAATAATAAAACACGATGACGATGTAGGAGCAGCAGTGATAGCAAAACAAAAAGAGCTGTGATTTCATGTTTTTTCTTAGTTAACTTTTTTTTTTTTTACAGAATAAACACAACATATAATAAACATGTATAAAAATGACTTTACATATAATAATAAACATTTCCACATATCACCTCCGATGTCCACCGTAACTCTCAGTTGCCATGTCAACTGTTTGGGATTCCCTACGTGCTTACGTCACCGCGCTTTCTGATTGGCGACATTCAACAGGCCGCGTTGTGCTTCCGGGTCAGGGGAAACCCCACGGGCTGCGGTGATCGGGCCGAGGCGATGTCAAAATATGGCCGATTTTAGATCGAGCATATTAAACGCACCGCGTTACACACACACACACACACACACACACACACACACACACACACACACACACACACACACACACACACACACACACACACACACAATGCAGGAGATCGTAAGATTGTTGTCAAGGAAAAATCGGGGGAAAAAAACCAACTAAATCAAAAAATAAAAGGCTTTAGCGGGAACATCGACGTGCAGAAGCGTCACCTGACGCTGCTACGCGCTGCATGTCAAACAGCTTTGATTTACCTTTGTTGCGAACAGAGACAGCGAGTCATGACCAGGATCCGTTTCTCCAGGCGAGCCTCTGTTTCACAACTCCAGCTCGGACCCAAATTGGCTGCGGAAGCCCAGAGCTGCTGGTCGCGTACAGGAAGCAGTGACGGTGGGCGTCTCTGGCCGTTTGGCCGCGAACCTGCGTCCGTGCGCGTGGCGTGAATGAAGTGACAACTGGGCCTCCAGCATTCCTTCGACTCCAAATGTGAAAGCTGGCCCCTCGGTGGTCTTCCTCCCACTGCTGACTCGGATGTAACTCAACCCACCCGTGGGGACTGAACGCGGTCTTCCTCAGCTGCAGCTGAACGCCTGGGAACGTTTGGCCTTTTTTTTTTTTGTCCTGGTTTCTCCCGTTTGCGTTGATCTTACGCCTCTGTGTTCTCATGGCAGCCATACTGCTCTTATGGATTCAGAGTACTTTTCTATTTCAATCGTAACTGTAGCCGTCCCGCTGTTCTCTGACTCTGACCTTTGCCCTCTGAACATAAACACTCGCAGCATCTTCTCTGTCTGACATGTTCACACACCCGGAGTCCCGAATGTGTCACGTTTATTTCTGACAATGTCGAATTAAGGAGAAATAATGCGATGCAGTGATGATAAGAAGTTATTAAACCCATGTTGGAAATTTACATGCACAGTGGTTATGTGTATTAATAGCAGTAACCTTTGCACTGTGTCCGCTCTAATGCGCAGCTGTTGGAGCAGTCGGTTTCTGTCAATCACACGCACAGGATTCACTGTTATCATCCTTTCTCCCCCCCACTCGTCTCCATCTCCCTCATTTCATCCACTAAATGCAACGAGCATTTAGCTCCACTGAGACCAAATCAGGCTGAACTATTTCTTTTATGTGCGTCAGAAGAAGTAAACTAAATATTCTACGTCACCCGCACATCAAAGTAAGGTGGTGGCAGCATCATGCTGACAGGGGAAGGTGAAGATGAATTGAGCCACATGCAGGATGTGAGTCCTCAGAGAAAACCTGAACACAGCTCAGCAGAAAAATCACCCTAAACCTTCTGGGGCAGCATATCAATGTGCCAGAATGGCCAAGTCAAAGTCCAGCCTTAAACCCAAGTGTTGCAACTTTATTCCCAGCTGCTCCTCAGCTTCTTCATTTTAACAGCCAGGCATCTTTTCTCTTCTTCTAATTTCTCACATAACATTCTATATTCGACTATAATAAAGATTATAGACGTATTGCGACAACATGAACACACATGCAAGGCACTGTTAATAAAACATAATTCAACACTTTAGAGCTGCATGTTTCCCTCGATGTGCTGCTGCTAATTACAACAAGTGTCTCTTTGTCATCACAGCTGAGAAACCAGTGGCTCAGCTGAACCATGATGACTATAACTTTCTGTTTTCTGGCTGCCAGGACAGGAATAGATGTGGAGCAGCTTCCTGCGTGCTGAATGTCTACCTTCTCTTGTTTCCTGACAGCATGCTGAGGACGTTAGCATGCTAACTTAGTCCTGTAATGAAAGCCATTGCTTTCATTACGCATTGAGCATTTGAGCAGCTGGTCATTGTGCATAAATAGACGGTGTGCTCTTGCAGCTTTTTTTATTGTAACTCAACTGTGTTTGAATTAAAAGTGATACTTTCCAGTATGAACCACTGAGATCATGTTCAGTGTCATGTTTATAACAAGAAGCCGACATCTTTCTGGGTAAAATCTGTTCTAAAAAGGTTTTTCTCTTACAGGACGTATCTGCAAAATTTTGTAATGAAGAGGTGAAGGTTGACTGTAGTCACTTCCAGTTCTTTGAAAAAAGTATTTTTCTCCTTACAATTTTCTTTTAAATCCTTTCTGTCATGCGTGAATGTTTCGGTTGATCAAAATTTTAATATCAGACTAAGATGACTTGAGTAAATAAGAACAACAACAGAAAAATCTCAAATGTAAAACTGTGAAATTTTAATGGCCTTGCTTCGGACATTCATATATTAATTGGGATTAACTGTATCTCTCTGTGCATCTAAGTTACGGATCATGAGCCACATCCATGCATGGAAACTGCCAGGCCAAAAGACATGGAAATGTGGTCAAATCAAACATGGAACATGTTGAAATATCTTTTAAGAAAGAATATATTTGCACTGAAACACTTTGATTATTATTGGTGGGTAGTAAATGTGACTTAAGGTGAGCTATTAGTTTTTTGTTCATTCTCAGCCTGAACAATCTCTTATTAAGAGAGATTGTTTTCTTAATAAGAACAATGTCTTATTGTTCTTATTAACAATATTAAGAACAATACACACATCACAGGTTCCTGTCCTGCTGTCGACATCTGCTGGCATCGTGGTAGGACTACAACTCAATTCAGTTTGTTGGTTTAGCACCAATAAATGTTATTATAAGGGACTTTATTATAAATAAAAAAAATTTAAAAATCCAATTAAAACTAATCTTACAGATTAAAGTACATTGTAGTTAAAAATGGGAGACAAGGGAAAGTAGTGAATATAAATGTGAAAAAATCTGCATATCATACAAATTTAATTTACATAAGCTGGACTATTAATATTAACGTAATTAAAATGTTCAATTAATAATTTACTAATGTCTTCCGTCTGGAAATGTAATTGTTTGTTTTGTTAAATTTCCTTTTCTACCAGGACAACTGCGGCAAAGTGCTTCCACCTCCTGGAGAAACTGCGGTATTACAATTTATTCTAAATATCTGCTTGCAGACAGTTAATTTCAAACTTCAAACCTTACTATGATCTTCCACAAACAACCCTTTGTCTTTGTTAAATTTCCTTTGCCTTACGTCATATCTAATCTCTACAACAACAACTAGAACATATTTCATATTAAAAATATCTTGCAAATAAAGATGAACAGTAAACACTACTGGTACAATCATTCCCTTGAAAGACGAGTTATACCTCCAAAAGTACCAGACTCGGGGTGAGCAAGGATTTCCCTATAGGAAAAAATGAAAAGAATGGAATAATTATCAGTAAACATGTTGATAGTTTATAATTTATTTAATATACAAATCCAGAGACAAATTTATGCACAGAAAAAACAACACACAGAGAAAGACCAAAACATACAACAACAAACAATAAAAAAAACATTCTCAGGGGGAGAAAGGTTGATTATACAATTAAAATGAAACAGGAAGCGCTCCGCACCCACCTCTGCTTTTGGCTCTCTTTGGGCAGCTCCATAACGGGGCCTGTCTGTGTGGCCTCCAGGCAGAGAAACTGTCAGCTGTCGGATATAACCTTTAATCCTCCATAAAACTTAGCCTGACAGTCCAAACAGCTGCTGGCCCGTCTGTCTCTGCTGTGCTACTAATCATCCAAGCAAAAAGCCTGAATGGACGAATATAGGCGACCATGCTGAGCGCCTTGTGCTTCCTCCCTTTGAAACAGACAGATAAATATGTTTCTTACTGACTGCAGACTGTGTTCATTCCACTTTTTATGCTAACTTTTTAAATTTCATTGTTCCTGTGACAATGACAATAAAGTTTTTTATCTTTATCTTTTTATCTTATTGATGTCATTTGGAGTCTAGAGAGCCACATAAAAAAACTACGGCGGGCCAGAAATAATTGAAAACAACATTTCTATCCAACACTGAGAATATGGAGCGAACAGTTGTGCTGCTAAACACAAATGAGGCTTGCTGTTCTCCATGATGGCATCCAGCTCCAATCAGCTGTGGTAAAAATGAACTTTTATCTCCTCAGCTGCTGTCGGATGGAAAATGCCTCTGATAGGGTGGCCAGCACATAGCACCAACCCAGCCAATCCGGTCTGCAGCAGAGGGCAGTCAGGTCACTCAAGATCCCAAACAAAAAGTTAATGTGCCATTTTAAATTAAATGTAATGAATAAAAAAATGTTTTTCTCTCAATCTGACTCTCTTACAATGTTTTATAACCTTTGGAGAGATGCCTATCCAATTTATTTTGGTAAATGAGACAGACATCATTTTAAACAGAAGCCTAACAAACATGGAGAAACAACATTAGGTCTTACACCATTGTTAAACCTTTCACCTCAAAAATTAAAGTTGTACAAAATGGAAATTTTAGAAAACATTTTTTCCAAGCTCAGGGTCCAGCGGGATTCAGTCAAACCATAAGCCATTGCTTTGAAAGGCAGTTGATAATAAATCCTTTGTCTATCATCTGTTTTTCCAGATCTTTTTATCAACCTGACAGATATAACTTTAATCCACTGGCTTGTCTACTTGGGGTTCCACATTGGAAAAAATAAAGCAACAAAACAAATTGCGTGCCAGTGGTTTGAGACAAAACATGTCCCTGAAGTTGTCACCATCCAGAGGCCAAACATTTATCTCCAAATGTGTCCAAAGCAAGTGCTTGCTACACTTTTTGTTTTAGTAAGCAGAATCTGGCTGCAGACAAATTTAAACTTTCATCACCCTGACCTTATTCTCTCAGGTGTGTCCATCTGTCTTAGTTGTACTGTCCTGGTTCCAGTAGGGGAAATTCAGTAGGTAATTATAATTCTGTCACTAAAGTGGTTGCTGATGGATTGCCTGCTCCATACTGTATGATCTACCACCACAGGCTTGAAACCTGGCAATGATGAACATGTTACAGAGGGAGACATTAACTTACACCAACAGCCAACCCTGTAAATCAAGCAGTAATTGGAAAGCCAATCAACCCAAAGTGACAGTAAGCGACATCCTGTAAATTCATCTCCTGGAGCCACAGTGCAGATGACAGCGATGCTCGTGGGTAAACAAATGAGCTCCGGTACATGTGGAAAATGAAATTAGGTCTATATTAACTTTGCTGCACTTCTCTTGTGTTAGTTCAGTTAGGGTAGTCTCATCAGACAGCTGAGTGCATTTCAAAACTGTAATCTGTCTCTTTCTTTGTTGAACTCAAAGAGGCTTTTTTCCTGTCGCATGTCAGTGCAGGAAATGTTTCACTGTAATTTTCTGACAGCTTCAGTCAGAAAATGTAGTGTCTTTAGTTCTGGAGCTGATTCATATATTTCTCAACAAAACAGATTCACCTGTGGGACACAGAGCCAGCCTCCTTCCTGAGGTGTTTATTAACAGTGAGAAGAAGTGATCTTACTCAACGTAGCTTGTTTTAATGTGAAACCTTGAGGAAAACCCTTCTATCTAAGAAGGGTCTATAGCTTCACCCACTGAGTATTTCAGAGATATGTTTAGAGCTCATTTGACCTCCAGAAGCCTTTATAAGAGGTTTCTGAAGTGTTCTGTCTTCCTCCTGGCAGGATCTTCACACACACTAGAAATTTAGACAATCTAATCCTTGAAGCGCTTCTTCCTCCACTTGACAGATTTCACCGCTGAGAACTGTGGGTTTCAGAGACAGTATTATGGCCACACCATGACTAATGCAACGTCTCTAAAATGAAGCTTGTCTAAATATTGCTCTCCACAGTCATGTTTGAGGAAAGGTTACTTTTAAGCAAGGCACTGTGCATGACAGTTAGTTGAAGACACACTCAAACGTGTTGGGAAACCATCAATTATCAGGTGAGGTAAGGAGGATTAAAGATGAACAAAACAGTAAGTAACAGTAATTTTTTTCACATTTTGTGACATTGAAGCCACAACTTTAATGTAATTACTTAGAACTGCATGCGATAGATCAACACAAATTAATCCATAGCTGTACAATAAAAGGAAAATGATTGGTTGATGCTTCAGCTGACAAAGTATCTCTTTATGTGTCGCAGTATTTCTATTAGAATATGAATTTCAATGCCAGTTTCAAATGCTTTGGCAGCCTCTGATAGGCTTTCTCCAGGATTTCTCTGTACTTATGTGCAGCTCCATCCATTTTCTCATTTGCTCTGATAAACTCTTCCACTCCTGCAGAAAGAAAGCCTCCCCACATCATGATGCTGCCATCACCAAATTTCACAATAAATAAGAGGCTGGTGTGCAGATTCAGTTTGCCACTCCAAAAAGCATTTTTGCACAACAAGCATCTGACCACCATCTGGTCAGATGAGACTAGAAGGTGTCCTGGTTTGAAACTAATTGTTGCAAACTGCAAACTCCTCCTCACAGTTACCCATCAACCACAGAGTCAAAATAATCTACAAAATAAATTTGAGTGATATCCTGGAAATGTACATAAATTTAAACCCTGCATGTCTCCCGCTGCCATGGAACCTGGTTTCTGTTCGTGAGCGGTCCCCACTTGAAAAGAGTATTTTAGACCAGAGGCGACAGGGAAAAGTGCGGCCGAATCCCAGATAGTGATGGAATGCTGCGGTGAGTCATGGACGAGCTATGCAGCAGAAGGTTTCTGGTGCTATTCCCTGAAAAATCCTATTATTTGGACACAGAAGGCAGAACTGAACGGAAAGAGGGCAGCCAGACGTCTGCAGAGCCTCGCCGAGCTCTGTCACAATGATGACTACCACAGGGTGTCCATGTCTGTGTGTGGGGGCACTGTGGCATGTGTTGAAGTGTGCACCTGATGATAACGATGAGTGTGTGCAAGTGTGTGTGGTGCTATCAGGTCAGGGTGGTGCCCTTGGCCTTGTAAGGAGGGTTATCTGGGGTTATATATTTAATCCCTGTCTCTCCTGCAGGTTCAGCAGATGCTTCCTCTTCACCTGCCCTCTGTAAGTACGAACCACTGCTGAGGCTTTCTGTTGGTTTTCATTTGATATTTCATCGAAGTGAAAAACATGCATTTTAGCCAATTACATATATAATGATAGAACAAGACGCTGATGAAAGTAAAATCATTTCAAATCATTTTATACATTTAGGAAGTCATGCCTAGATGTTTAAATGTTTGCATTTCCTGCAGGTGTTTCAGTCACTTTCAGCCGAAAGCCTTGATCTCATCTTTCATCTGAGCTGAGCCCACAGGTAAATTATACTTTCTCACGCTTATAATGATAATTACATCATTTTAATAGAAAATCTCATGTGATTATTTTCTCATTACTACGCTAAATTGTCAATAAATCCCCTTTATAAAGACGTAATCGTGACGAGATTACAGAAGTGTAATCTATTGTGGAAGACATGCCGCTGAGCAAGTACTCCTCAGTCTTTCGTTTGTGTCCACAGTACTGCAGCCATGGGGGATGCAGAGATGTCTGTGTATGGTGCGGCAGCCCAGTACCTGAGGAAGTCGGAGAAGGAGCGAATGGAGGCCTCCACGCGTCCGTTCGACATCAAGAAGGAATGCTTCGTCCCGGATCCGGTGGAGGAGTTCGTGAAGGCGACCGTCGTCAGCCGGGAGGGAGATAAGGTCACTGTGGACACACAGAATGGGAAGGTGAGTGCTTTAGTACATCAGGCATACATAACCTTTATAAATAGTATTAAATAATTCTCTACCATAAATGATTCAGCTGGTGAATAAAACCAGCTGTCAGTGAGTTCTCTGAGATATTTGACCAAAGTGGAATGAGGTGAAGTTGGGGCTGTTAAGAAGGCATTAGCTTTTACTCATTGGTGTGTGTGAGAGTGATATGAAATGTCATGTCCTCAAATAAATGTGAGCAGTAGAGAGAATGAGATTGAAATTAGTGTCGCTCTGCTGCCATCAGGCATTCTCTCTCTTTTTGCTCTACGAAAGTAGAATGAGGCGGTAAAAGATGGTTTAGATGAATGGTGGCCCGTTTATACATTTTTTAGTTTTAAAATGTGTGTGTTTTATTGTGAGTTTATGTGTAACAGAATCACAAAGTGTTTCTATGTGTAAGTCTTGAAAATCAATGTTCGCAAACACTTCAACAATTAGAGCTTGAGCTAAAGACTTTCAGCTTAATTGTGGTAAAATAAGTAAATTTGTGGGGCCCAATACAAATGCATGGAACATTTTTCAGATTTATTTAATCATTTTCTTTTTTCAAAACAATACATCACTATCCTTTCACAAATATGCTCTATACTGTCTTGCTTTATCCCCTAAGATCTCAATAAAGGAGACAAACCAAACGGAGGGACTCTGTATGGTTCATTTTCCAGCCAATGTATGAACACAAGTAAAAGGACTAATGTATTGAACTTTAATTGCGGCAGACTGTTACTGTCAAAGAGGCAGACGTTCTGCAACAGAACCCTCCCAAGTTTGACAAGATCGAGGACATGGCCATGCTGACCTTCCTCCATGAGCCAGCGGTGCTGTTTAACCTCAAAGAGCGCTACGCAGCGTGGATGATCTATGTGAGTAGGCAACAAATAATAAACTTTAATTGTGCATGGCTCAGGAAGTTTTAATTCTATCACCCAAGCCACGGTGACACAGTGTGATTTTCTGTGACCTCTCAGACCTACTCTGGGCTGTTCTGTGTGACTGTCAACCCCTACAAGTGGCTGCCAGTCTACAACCAAGAGGTGGTTGTTGCCTACAGGGGCAAGAAGAGGAGTGAAGCTCCTCCTCACATCTTCTCCATCTCTGACAATGCCTACCAGTACATGCTGACAGGTAAAGGCAATCAATGTCCTAGAGAAAGCATTCTCAATTAGGTTTGTTGTCCTCACTGATGAAAATGTTCATTGAAAACCTTTTGACAGACCGTGAAAACCAGTCAATTCTGATCACGTATGTAAATACACTTCATCTTGATATGATCTAAAATCAATATCTTATTGTGCATTCAGCAATAGATTTGTTTTGCTTGTGTAACTCTGTTCCTGCAGAGGAGAATCTGGTGCAGGAAAGACTGTGAACACCAAGAGAGTCATCCAGTACTTTGCAAGTATTGCAGCTGGAGGTGTTAAGAAAGACCCCAACGCAAAAGACAAGGTACGTGACGAGCTTTTCAAAATAATAAAAACTCAGTCATTTTTCTGGCAAAGCAAAAGTCATATGAGCAAAGGAATAAACTAAAGCTACCCTTCATTTCTCCCTGAAGTAGCAACTGTAAGCAAACCTTGAAATTTAATGAATCTTTTTGAGTTCAACATCACTTGATTGAATTGGAAGTAGTAAGAGGTTCATGGTGGATCTTTCAGTAATTGTAATGTGTTTGTTTGATCAGGGCACCCTGGAGGATCAAATCATTCAGGCTAATCCTGCTCTGGAGGCCTTTGGAAATGCTAAGACCATCAGGAATGACAACTCCTCCAGATTTGTGAGTGCCTACTTTGCATTCTTGATTATTTTTGTGTTATTTATTTAGTGTCCCAATCATGTAAGAGGTTTGTTTTCAACACAGTGACTGTTTTGTAGTTCTGAAACCCTAATTTATTTTAAATTAGGTAATAGACAATATCTTTCCTCCCGTTGTATAAAGACAGAAAAATTCTATATCAACACAAAGCGGGGAGGAAATTTGCAAATTGATAATTTTTTATTTTGTCCTTACAGGGTAAATTTATCCGAATTCACTTTGATACCAGAGGAAAATTAGCTTCTGCTGATATCGAGACATGTAAGTATAAACACCCTTTGGGTTTTACAGCCACAAATTTGGACGGTCTCTTTTTTTCTCATGTTTGCGACTTCTCTCTGGTTGTCTGAAGACCTGCTAGAGAAATCTCGCGTGACCTTCCAACTCAAGGCTGAGCGAGATTATCACATTTTCTACCAGATTCTCTCCAACAAGAAACCCGAAATCCTGGGTTAGCACAGTACAGTAGAAAAAGCAATTAATTATGTTGTAATGTTTTTTTGCCTGATGTTATATTGCTCTTTCTTGTCCTCCAGAGATGCTGCTGATCACAAACAATCCGTACGATTATGCATTCATCTCTCAGGGGGAAACTCAAGTGGCCTCCATAGATGACGCAGAGGAACTGATGGCAACTGACGTAAGTTTCTCCATCTAAACATTAGTTTATGAAAAAGAAACATAATTAAATGGAAATGTGAAACATTTATATGGGTGACAATATGGTTGACTGAGCTGTGACTGTTTTCTTCTTCAGAGTGCCTTTGATGTGTTGGGCTTTACTCAAGAAGAAAAAAACTCTGTGTACAAGCTCACCGGCGCCATCATGCATTATGGCAACATGAGGTTTAAGCAGAGGCCTCGTGAGGAGCAAGCAGAGGCCGACGGCACCGAGGGTGAGAAAAAAACCTCTGTAATTTGTAAACATGCACAAACTTGATGTGTATTCACCATTGCTGTTTGTGTGTTTCTCTTAGATGCTGACAAAGTTGCATATCTGATGGGCCTGAACTCTGCTGACCTCATCAAAGGTCTCTGTCACCCAAGGGTCAAAGTGGGGAATGAGTGGGTCACCAAGGGACAAAATGTTGCCCAGGTAAAAGAAAAGAAACAGCCTTAAAATTGTTTAAGCTGTGAATTTGTCTATAATATCTCCATTTTATTTCCTTCAAGGTAAGTATGCTCTAAACTAAACTTTAACCTTTCTTTTTTAAATGTGGCTGGCTGACCATCTCCCAGGTGTACTATGCTATTGGAGCTTTGTCCAAAGCTGTTTATGAGAAGATGTTCCTCTGGATGGTCATGAGAATCAACCAGTCACTGGAGACAAAGCAGCCTCGCCAGTATTTCATTGGAGTGCTGGACATTGCTGGGTTTGAGATCTTTGATGTAAGTCATCTTATTTGCAAATAATGACCAGATCAACAAGTACTCAAAAGGGAAAAACTAAATAAAAAATTTCTTATTTAGTTCAACACCTTTGAGCAGCTGTGCATCAACTTCACCAATGAAAAACTGCAACAGTTTTTCAACCACCACATGTTTGTGCTGGAGCAGGAAGAATACAAGAAAGAGGGGATTGAATGGACTTTCATTGACTTTGGCATGGATCTGCAGGCCTGTATTGATCTGATTGAAAAGGTGAGAATCAGAATATCAAACACATGGAAATGGTAAAAGGTTATTTGTGTTTCAAACCACTTTTATTTCCCTTTCAGCCCATGGGTATCATGTCCATCCTGGAAGAGGAGTGCATGTTTCCCAAAGCCTCTGATGCTACATTTAAAGCTAAGCTTTATGACAATCATCTCGGAAAATCAAACAACTTCCAGAAACCCAGGATTGTCAAAGGCAAACCAGAGGCCCATTTTGCCCTGGTCCACTATGCTGGAACTGTTGATTATAACATCAACAACTGGCTGGTGAAGAACAAGGATCCTCTGAATGAGACCGTTGTTGGTCTTTACCAGAAGTCAACACTCAAACTGCTTTCTACTCTCTTTGCAAATTATGCAGGAGCTGATTCAGGTATTCTACCATTAGTATTTTGCTTTGTAGAAAATGGATAAGCAAAGCATACTTACATAAACGTAAAATACTAACTCTACAAATTTCACATTTTTCTCTGTTTATACACCTTATCTTTGTACACCTGTTCATAAATATTTATATCCCGTATAACACTTCTGGATAGATGCAAACTACATTTTGTTGCTTTGTGCTTGTGACAGTGCAATGACATTAAAGTTGAATTCTATTCTATTCTATAAAAGCAATATCTGAAGGCAGTGAGGGTAAAAAAGAAAAGAAGAAGAAAGGATCATCATTTCAGACTGTGTCCGCTCTCCATAGGGTAAAGTATTTCCACAAACTTCTTCATTTCTTAAAAATCCAAATTCTACATATTTTTGCATATCCCCATTATAGGAGAACTTGAATAAGTTGATGACCAACCTGAGGTCTACCCACCCCCACTTTGTGCGCTGCATCATCCCCAACGAGACCAAGACTCCTGGGGCCATGGAGAATCCTCTGGTGATGCACCAGCTGCGCTGTAACGGCGTGCTGGAAGGCATCAGGATCTGTAGGAAAGGCTTCCCTAACAGGATCCTCTATGGAGACTTCAAGCAGAGGTATTGCCTCAGTACATCCAAAGGGTATCTTAGTACATCCCAGGAGTTGTACTCTACAAGGTCCTGCTAACAAATATATGATTTCCCAGATATCGTATCTTAAATCCTGCTGCCATTCCTGAGGGACAGTTCATTGACAGTAGAAAGGGAGCCGAAAAACTTCTTGGATCTCTTGATATCGATCACAACCAGTACAAGTTTGGGCACACTAAGGTACCGCCTGTGTTTTCTAAGATAAAAGGGAACAAAGGATATGAGTTACAACATGGACAGGCAATAAAATATAACTTTTGAAAACTAAATATTGTATTTAGGTGTTCTTCAAGGCTGGACTGCTGGGTCTACTCGAGGAGATGAGAGATGAGCGCCTTTCCAAAATCATTACTGCAATTCAAGCCAGGTCTCGTGGTCTTTTGTCTCGCATAGAGTATCAGAGGATGGTGGAGCGCAGGTTTGTTTCATACAACTTACATTGTTCTTTTATATTACGGTTACTTGTGGTCATATTTTCAATAAAAGTGTTTTAAAATATATATATTTTTCAATAGAGATGCCCTATTGGTAATCCAGTGGAACATCCGCGCCTTCATGGGGGTCAAGAATTGGCCCTGGATGAAGTTGTTCTTCAAGATCAAACCTCTGTTGAAATCAGCTGAAGCAGAAAAGGAGATGGCCAACATGAAGGAAGAATTCCTGAAACTGAAGGAGGCCTATGCAAAATCTGAAGCTCGCAGAAAAGAGCTGGAGGAGAAAATGGTCTCCCTTCTCCAAGAGAAGAATGACCTGCAGCTCCAAGTCCAAACTGTAAGAATAACAATATTTCAGAATTTTCTCTGAAGATGTTGCTGAGTCTCCCCTCCCCCACTAATAACTCATCTTGAACAGGAACAAGATAATCTCTGCGATGCAGAGGAGCGATGTGAGGGCCTGATCAAAAATAAAATCCAACTGGAAGCAAAAATCAAGGAGTTGACAGAAAGACTGGAGGATGAGGAGGAGATGAATGCTGAACTGACTGCAAAGAAGAGAAAGCTGGAGGATGAATGCTCTGAGTTAAAGAAAGACATTGACGACTTAGAGCTAACTCTGGCAAAGGTGGAGAAAGAGAAACACGCTACAGAAAACAAGGTACCACAAAGACTAACAAATTAAACCAAAATATGTCAAATAGCTTTGGTTCACACTGAAAACCTTTTGGCCTAAAGGTCAAGAACCTCACAGAGGAGATGGCTGCTTTGGACGAAATCATCGCCAAGCTCACAAAGGAGAAAAAAGCTTTACAAGAAGCTCATCAACAAACCCTGGATGACCTGCAGAGTGAAGAAGACAAAGTCAACACTCTGACCAAGGCCAAGACGAAGCTGGAGCAGCAAGTGGACGACGTAAGATGACATTGAATAGAATCGAAATACAGTAACATGACACTATTCTAAGTGGTATTGTAAAACGCTAAACAGTAACAACAGTTATTTCTTTGTTTTTAGCTTGAAGGATCTCTTGAGCAAGAAAAGAAGATTAGGATGGATCTTGAGAGGGCAAAGAGGAAGCTGGAGGGTGACTTGAAGTTGAGCCAGGAGTCCATAATGGATCTTGAAAATGATAAGCAACAGCTGGAGGAGCGCCTGAAAAAGTATACACCTACTATAAGATTATGTGATGAGTTTAGTCACAAAACACTATTGGTCGATGTTTTTGTAGCCTAAAACTAACAAGAAAAAATCCTGCAGGAAAGACTTTGAAATCAGTCAGCTGAACAGCAAACTGGAAGATGAGCTGGCTATAATCAGCCAACTTCAGAAGAAGTTAAAAGAGCTGCAGGTAAAACCTTGACATTACATGATCATTATTAAAGTTCTACACAAGTTCACAAAGTACTGATGCAAAAAATTTACACCACTCCAATGGTAGGCCCGTGTGGAGGAACTGGAGGAAGAGCTTGAAGCAGAACGAGCTGCTCGAGCCAAGGTGGAGAAGCAGAGAGCAGACTTGGCAAGAGAGTTAGAGGAGATCAGTGAGAGACTGGAGGAGGCTGGAGGAGCCACAGCGGCCCAGATAGAGATGAACAAGAAGAGGGAGGCCGAGTTTCAGAAACTCCGCAGAGACCTCGAAGAGGCCACCCTGCACCATGAAGCCACCACTGCCACACTCAGGAAGAAACAAGCCGACACTGTTGCTGACCTGGGAGAGCAGATCGACAACCTGCAGAGAGTCAAGCAGAAGCTGGAGAAGGAGAAGAGTGAGCTTAAACTGGAGCTGGATGATGTTGTGTCCAGTATGGAGCAGATTGTCAAGTCCAAGGTATGTGTGGTGATCTGATAGCTTTCTAGACAACAACAACCTCTACTAAAAAATACCATGCAAGGACTGTGATATGTGCACAATTTCTTTTCAGACTATCCTGGAGAAAACTTGCAGAACTTTAGAGGATCAAACGAATGAATACAGAACAAAATGTGATGAATACCAAAGATCTCTCAATGACTTCACCACCCAGAAAGCCAAACTTCAAGCTGAAAATGGTTCGTCTTTTTTTCCCACTTAGAAAATTAATGGTTTTCTATAAAGAGGGGTGTACATGTGAACGTTTTGACATCTACAGATGAGCTTTCAAGACAAATGGAGGAGAAAGAGTCACTTATTTCTCAGCTCACCAGAGGAAAAAATTCCTACAATCAACAGCTTGAAGACCTAAAACGACAACTGGAAGAAGAGATAAAGGTGTGAAATCATTTCTGGATAATACAGAATGAATCATATATTGTTTTATTTTACAAAAAAAAGTTTAAGCCATATATAATTTATCTTGACCTCAGGCCAAGAATGCACTAGCCCATGCGGTGCAGTCTGCTCGTCATGACTGTGACCTCCTCAGGGAGCAGTACGAGGAGGAGCAGGAAGCCAAGGCTGAACTTCAGCGCAGCATGTCCAAGGCCAACTCTGAGGTGGCTCAGTGGAGAACCAAGTACGAAACTGATGCCATCCAGAGAACTGAAGAACTGGAGGAAGCTAAGTGAGTACAGCACATTTGAATTTAAGTGACTATACAAAGTTTGAAAGCAGCCAATCCCAATCCTGGATTCTTCTATAATCCAGAAAGAAGCTGGCTCAGCGTCTGCAGGAGGCTGAGGAGGCTGTTGAAGCAGTGAATGCTAAATGCTCCTCTCTGGAGAAGACCAAACACAGGCTGCAGAATGAGATTGAAGATCTCATGGTGGATGTGGAGAGGTCTAATGCTGTTGCTGCTACACTGGACAAGAAGCAAAGAAATTTTGACAAAGTATGTTGGATATTTTCTTTAAAACACACACAAACAAGTCTGGTCCACCATGACATAAAAATAATAACCACATGCATGAGAAAACTCACAAGCACATGGCATAATTTAGTGTGTGATAATTTTTTTTACCAATACATAAGAAAACCAGATTGCTTATAAAACTAGAACAAGTCATGACTCTCAGCTGCCAATCACACTTGTGTACTCACTGCTGAATGTGTTAATGGCAGAGAAACAACTTAACATTATAGTAAAACTTTAATAGCCATCTTTGGTAGCAATGCTAACTTTCGTGCATTCATAGAAGGGTCTCTTATGAAGAACAAGCATATCAGAAAGCAATGGGGAGGGTTTGGTATGAGCAGTACATTCTGGTTAAATGTATAGCAAGCAATACGATACATTATTGTTGCTGCATTATTGTTTAACTTGGATATATTTAACTGCTACATGATGAAACTGTAAATAACTTCTGGATAAAAAACAATGATCATTATATTTTCACATAATGATGCTTTTTTCCAAAGAAAAAGAGTATTAGTAGAAAATGTAAAGTGTCAAATGAGATTTTACATCCTGATTTGAATCTCAATGTCCAGGTCTTGTCAGAGTGGAAGCAGAAATATGAAGAATCTCAGTGTGAGTTGGAGAGTTCTCAGAAAGAAGCCAGATCATTGAGCACTGAACTCTTCAAACTTAAAAACTCTTATGAAGAGTCTCTTGAACATCTGGAGACCATGAAGAGGGAGAACAAGAACCTACAAGGTAATACATCACTGAATGTAAACTTACAAATGTAAAAGAGGCAAGGTAAAAGTGACGGGATGCACTTTCATTGACAGAGGAAATTTCTGACCTCACTGAGCAACTTGGTGAAGGTGGGAAAACCGTTCATGAGCTGGAAAAAGCTCGAAAGCAGCTGGAGCAGGAAAAAGGGGAGATTCAGTCTGCGCTGGAGGAAGCAGAGGTGAGATTATAACCAACTTAGGTTAATACATAGCTTAAAATAAAAGTCAAATTTCAAACCAGACACTGCATCTGTGTCAAAGGGTTCCCTTGAACACGAGGAAGGCAAGATACTGAGAGTTCAGCTTGAGTTTAACCAGATTAAGAGTGAAATGGAGCGTAAACTGGCTGAGAAAGATGAGGAAATGGAGCAGTGCAAGAGGAACCTGCAGAGGACAATCGACACCCTGCAGAGTTCTCTTGAGGCCGAGTGCCGCAGCAGGAATGAAGCCCTTCGTCTGAAAAAGAAGATGGAGGGAGACCTCAACGAGATGGAGATCCAGCTTAGCCAAGCCAACAGGCAGGCGGCTGAGGCCCAGAAACAACTCAAGTTGGTTCATGCACATCTGAAGGTAAACTAAAACAGAAGAAACTCACTTTCAAGAGATCCTGTGAAAATATATGTATGTGCTCACGGTTAATGCCATTCTGTAAAGGATTGCCAAATTCAGCTGGATGAGTCGGTTCGGGCCAACGATGATTTTAAAGAGAACATGGCCATTGTTGAAAGACGCAACAACCTGCTTCAGGCAGAGCTGGAGGAACTGAGGGGCGCTTTAGAGCAAACCGAACGAAGCCGCAAACTTGCTGAGCAAGAGCTGCTGGATGTTAGTGAGCGGGTGCAGCTACTGCACTCACAGGTGAGACTACATCTCAAAGGCAACAATACTTCCTACATGAACTAATACCTCATAAATATCTCATTTTGATATCATGCAGAACACCAGCCTGATAAACCAGAAGAAGAAGCTGGAGGGTGACACAGTCCAGCTTCAATCTGAAGTGGAGGATGCACTGCAGGAATGCAGAAATGCTGAAGAGAAGGCCAAGAAGGCCATCACTGATGCTGCCATGATGGCAGAGGAGCTGAAGAAAGAGCAGGACACCAGCGCTCACCTGGAGCGCATGAAGAAGAACATGGAGCAGACCATCAAAGATCTGCAGCACCGTCTGGATGAAGCTGAACAGATCGCCATGAAGGGAGGCAAGAAGCAGATCCAGAAGCTCGAGTCAAGGGTGAGCACATCTGTTTTTGCACATATGTACTGAAAATACATAATATATTTGCAAATAAACAAAATACAAGAAAATATGCACAAAACGTTCTTAAGGTGCGGGAGCTAGAAAACGAAGTAGAAATGGAGCAGAAGAAAAGCAGCGAAGCTGTGAAAGGAGTCCGTAAATATGAGCGCCGCATCAAGGAGCTGACCTATCAGGTGTGCTGAATTCCATATCCAGTATCCAACAAAGCTATTCAAGGGTCATTCAGCAGCAGTTTGATATATTAACATCCTCTCTCATCCATCTGCAGACTGAGGAAGATCGAAAAAATATCGCCCGACTGCAAGACCTGGTGGACAAACTGCAGCTGAAAGTCAAAGCTTACAAAAGATCTGCGGAGGAGGCTGTAAGTGTGAAGATGTGTCAAAGTATTTATGTAAATTCTTCAATGAATATTTCTGTTCCCTGTTTTATTTTCAACCAGGAGGAACAGGCTAACGTTCATCTTTCCAAGTTCCGAAAGCTGCAGCATGAGCTGGACGAGGCTGAAGAGAGAGCTGACATCGCCGAGTCTCAAGTCAACAAGTTGCGGGTCAAGAGCCGTGACTCTGGCCCCAAGGTAGGAAGCATCCAAATTTTATCAAAAAACTTCCACGTGCTATGTACACTTACAGTGCGCTGAGGCCACACTAAGCTGAATACTAAATGGCTGTTTCTCTTTTTCTCTCTCTCCAAATTTGGGGGCTGCAACAGAAAGGGTTTGATGAGGAGTGAATCGTTGGAGTCTGTGGAAATATTTCTGCCTGCCGTGTATTATAGATCCCCTTCACTGTCACTGTTCACATCCTGTAGTCCAAATAAAACCACATTAAGAAGTGCAGTCCACACATTCTTGTGTTTTTTAATCTTATCCTGAACAATGTGTTGAAGGGAAATGAGAAAGCACTTTTCAAATTTTTAATTAGACATAAGAAATTGATATGTGGGATGGCAAACAAAGCTCTCAGTATGAAGCTGCTTAATATAGACTAGGATAATTAGTTTTTCTTTTACACAATTATAAGTTGGAATAGAACAGAAATAGCCTTGGTTGTCCATAGTCTAGAAATTCCTCAAATATGTAGTCTATTTTGAAGTATAAATATAAAAATTATCACTCACAGCACGATGACATCACTACCATACTTGACGTTTTTGGATTAATAATAAAAGCCAGGTCCCTCCTCCAAAACCAACATATTTAAATTGATATTAATATTTGTTTGGGTGTCTGCATATATTTGAGCTTCTGTTGTTGATTTTCTCTGTGTTCAGTTGTGTCCTAAAATGCCCAAATTTAATAAAAACGTTCATGTACATGGTGTGTGTATGTAAGCTTTTTATTAGTGATGATCGGGTTTGGAGATGATGCAACAGGAGGGCAAGGTATAGACTTAAATTGGAAAAAAATAGGGACACGGTATTTAGTGCAAAATGAAAAACTGAACTAAAAACTGAAAAGCTGTGGAGCAGATATAGTTAAGAGACAAAGCAAATGTCCTACTCTAAAATTAGAGTCAACTAAAGCCCAAAAGCTTGAGCAGAGGTCAACAATAAACCAGTGCTCATGAGTAGATCCACCATAAATTCACACATGATCTCTTGCAGCTGGTCACTGGATCACGGTTAAAATCTGCATGCTCCTATGGAGAACTGGACAGGAGTTCTTGGATTCAGTACAAAAAAAAATCTATTTCCAGGTACCAGAAATAAGTCAGCAGGGACAGCAAAGTATGAAGAAACGAAACAATACATTAAGCCTTATTAACCTTAGGCCAGTATGGTTGAGATAATACAGTCATTTGGTTATTTTAACAACCAAACGCACAACTTCTCCACTTTAATTTTCAGCACAAACATATGGAGGCATATAGAAGCAAAGATGACTCCTATTTGATTAAAAAGCTAATTCTGCCTGCCTCTTTTCTGGCCATTATTCATGTCTGACTCTCTGATGCTTCAGTGGGAAATTTTGCAATGATATAAAGTGGGAGGAGGTGAGAGAGGAGACCCCAGGGTCCTAAAGCGTGAACCACAGGAAGCCCTGTGTCTTCTCCTATTACATGTCCTCTCCTAAACTCCTCTGGCTGACAAGCAGGTATCTACCCGCTAATGAAGACATATTTACACCTCTGCTCATAGTGGTGAACTACAAACAGCACAGAGTGTGTGTGTGTGTGTAGAGGGCTTATCAGTAAGATTAACAGGATATCAGAGCTCACACTGATAAAGGAGGAACCCAAGACAGAACAGTTTGGCGTATCTGCAGCTAAAACACATTTTGAGTTGAACTGAAAGCTTTATATTTTTCTGAACCAGAAACTTACAATGAAAAGACTTTATATTTTTATAAGTAAACTTTTTTTTATTGCCTCCACTAAGTTAATATAGCATCTAAATGGCAGAACTCTTTGCCATTTTACAAATAAGAGAAATCCTAAATTAACAAATATCTTTTGTGACGATCAGGTATCTGTTTACAGAACGGGACAAACACAATCAAGCTGCTCCTCACACCACCCTGTGGTATTTTTATCCAATTAGACACAAGTGAAGACAGTGTATGTTTGTCGTGACATAAAAAAGTATTTAAATCATGTTGATTTAAATTAATTTGTGCTTATGTAAAGGGTAGACATCAGATGTGTGACGATGGGGTTATTTTTGTTTGCTCTTTAGCAAACTGAATGAAATCTCTCGCTTCCATTTGGCACTCTGGCGCCAGCTGTCGGAGCAGGCCTGGCGAAGTTGTCACAGTGGAAATTATCTCAGCTCTTGTCAGCGGCCGTTGACCCTCCTTTTATCTCTTAACCTTTGAAGGGGCAGCGGATATGGCTCAAAGTAGTTAGATGTGCTGTGACGCCCAAATAATGCATGATGATATGACGCATAAGTTACCATAAATGTTGGAATTGAATCAGAAGAGGCTTCGGTTGTCAGTTCCAAGCCATTTCAGACCAACACCAGAGAAACAGCTGATCCTACATGCAGACAAAAGCTGGATCCTGACTGTTCTACACACTCTGCGGTTCTCCAGGGGAATCTTGCACGGTTATCTTTATCCACGAAGAGAGACAATGCTATGTCAACAAGCCTGTAACTAAGAGGCTAGCTTTTCTAGCTTCACTGCGTTAATGCAAACAGGCTCCTGCTTTGACACCGGAGCTCATCGTGTTGCTCCAGCTCCTCACTGCTTGACATATTTATTGCCTTTGAGAAAATCCAAAGCATGTCCACCTGTGACAGACCTTTGTCTGTGCCGCATCGCTCTAGTCGTCTGGTTAATCTTTCAGAATAATGTTCTTTATTTAGACCTGCTCACTCACTACGTGATGACTGCTGTTGTTAAAATGAGGTTCATCCACTCTGTAATAACCAAAGACAATGTGTGACTCATGCTGCACCGGGACTCCACTTAAGCCCTGAGAGTAATGGACACCAATAGATGAGATATTTCACTGAAGCATTTCCCCAGAAACAATGTACATCTTCCTTTGTGTTTCGAAAACAATACCGGTAATTAACATGTGCAGACTTATTTGTCCTAATAGCAACACATGTCAACAATGAAACTGTTTCCTACTGCTGTAACTCTTAAAATGTTTATTTTTACATTCATTTTTTATTTCTTAATTAAGCTTGCTAAATAAAATGTTTAATCACATTCATTTTTACAATTTAAATGATTTTGAGTTACTTACAGTTCACTATAGACCAACATTTACTTTTCTATAAAAAATCTTTATTTATCACATACACTTTTTACATTTATTTATTTACTTAGAGTATTGTTTTTATGAGTGGCACTTAGAATAAGTAGAAAAACAATGTAAAAATACACATTTAGCCTTTCCTATATTTCATTTCTTAAATATTAACCATTTTTATACGTATCCTGACCTTTCATAATAACGTCTGAGAAATAAATAAATCAATAAATAAATGTTTCTACGCAGAACAGTTTTTTCGGAAGGAATAAACATGGGGAATCAGTCCTTGTATCTATTTAAAGGTTTAGTTCTAGTCTCTGGCTGCTTGGGGATACTTATGAATAATCATTGCAATACATGCAGTGCCTAATATGGCTTCACTGGGGACCCCCATCTCTGATAAGACCCTGACCCGCTGATTTCTGGACTGCTCTCCCACTCATTAACCCCCTCCCGTCTTAAACCCACTGACCAAACACAGACACAATAACATTCCTGGCCCTAAAGCTCTCCTCCATATTAGGCAAAGGGGTTTTATTTAAAAGGAGAAGTCACAGGGAAGCCCCCAACAGGTCACCATTCTATCTCAAGGTAAGGTATGAAGACAAAAGTCCAGGCTTAGCTAGATATGGAAACCTCACTGCTCTTATCTCTTACCATTTGTTTTTTTCTTCCCTCAGGGTCGTCTTCATCTCAGTATTTCAGGAAGTGGTTGAAAAGGTAAGAACATTTGAAAATTTACAACAATAAAATATGTTAGGGAAAATTACTTTACCTGCAACACGCAAACAGTAAAGATGCATCAAGATAAATTGTTGTTTAGTTGCCCAGGTGAAAGATGGGTGATGCTGCCATGAAAGAATTTGGGGCAGCCGCCCCGTACCTGAGGAAGTCAGACAGGGAGCGTCTGGAGGCCCAGACCCGTCCGTTTGACATGAAGAAGGAGTGTTTTGTTCCTGACCCCGATGAGGAATACGTTAAGGCTTCCATCGTAAGTCGTGACGGTGATAAAGTCACTGCTCAGACAGAGAAAGGGAAGGTCAGTATGCAGAAGTGATGCTGCTTTAAAGGCAGCTTATTTTTTTGCCACCAGTGAAAGCAGCCTGTTAACAAAAACGTTGATTTTTTCAGACTGTCACAGTGAAGGAGTGTGACGTACATCCTCAGAACCCGCCAAAGTTTGATAAAATTGAAGACATGGCGATGTTCACCTTCCTCCATGAGCCAGCTGTGCTGTTTAACCTCAAAGAGCGTTACGCAGCGTGGATGATCTACGTAAGTGACAAAAAAGCTAGCTTTCCACTCCTTTATACACCAATCCTAATTCAGATCATTGAAAGAAATGTTTCATGTTCCATTTCAAATTATCTCAGACCTACTCTGGGCTGTTCTGTGTGACTGTCAACCCCTACAAGTGGCTGCCAGTCTACAACCAAGAGGTGGTTGTTGCCTACAGGGGCAAGAAGAGGAGTGAAGCTCCTCCTCACATCTTCTCCATCTCTGACAATGCCTACCAGTACATGCTGACAGGTCATTTATTTTCAATGAAAATCACATCGTCAGTTGAGTGAGGGTCAAAAAGAGTGAGCCTTTCAGTAATCCTTTCCTCTCTTTTTTCAGACAGAGAAAATCAATCCATTCTCATCACGTATGTTAATTAATTTGTAATTCTCAAAAATATCATCTTGTCAGAACTTTGGTCAAATGTAGATTTTCTGCCTTTGTTTCTGCCTTTATGTTAGCCAAAAAAACTGATTGGTGCTGCATTTGTCTTTACTGAACCTTCCTCAAGCATTGAAACACGTTGAACTTTTTTCATTCTAATTACAATAAAGCACAACATTCTTTGTATTTCACTAGGATTTTAAGTGATAGACCTTCTAGATTTTAAAACAGCTAAAAATCAGAAAGGTGGAGTCTGTAGCTCCCACTAACCAAAATGATATAGAACCAACTTTCTCTACAGTTCAGGCTGCTAGTCTTTTGGGATATGTCTTTACCAGCTTAACACCTTTCGCAAAGTTGCTACAGATTTTTTGCTTGTTCTTTTGCATAAAGTAGCTCACGCTCAATCAGATTACATGGACTGTCTCTAGACATAAGTTTTCAACTCCTGCCAGAAATTTCTTAATTAAATTTTAGTTGAACTTTGACTGGGCGACTGTATAATATGGTTTGCTGAAAACAGCTAAACTGTAACTCACTCCATCCAGCTTTCCAACTCTGATCAGACCCAGATCCCATCACATAATGCTGCTCCAACCATGTGTAACTGTGAGAATGGGATGTAATTGTTTTCAGTACACAATAGATCTTTGAATGTAGGACAAAACATTTAATTTTGGTCTCAACTGATGACATGTTTATGATGTCCTCTGAATGGCTTGCAGCAAACTACCAACATGGCCTCTTATGGCTTTCTGTCTTCTTGATAGTCTTCTATAAATACCAGATTTGTACAGAGCACAACGACCAGACAGCCTGTCAAATAATTCTCTTAGCTGAGCTGTGGATCTCTGCAGCTGTCATGGAATTACCTGGGGTCTCTTAGCTGTTTCTAAATAATTCCCTAATCAACATGCCTGTGAGTTTAGATAGACAACCATGTCTTGGTGGGGGATCGCATCCCTGCTACGGTCTTTCAGTGATTGAACTTTGAGAGATGTCCAAACCTGGGATTGTTTTATGACCTTAGCGACTCCATAAATACATCACATGATGGTGTTTGTTCAATCGTGATCTCTAACAAATCCTCTGAGGTTTTATCCAGACCAGTTATATTTATACCAAATTTTTTATACAGAGGCAGACTTTACTTACTGATTAGGTGTCTGATGAATGCAGTTGGTTGCCAACAAATGTACAAATGTATGGCACACTTCTCAGATTTTCCTCTCCTTTTCTATCTCTTCACATACACTACTCTCTGTTGGTCTATCACACAAAATCCCAATAAATACATAGAAGGTTGTGATAGTGAAATTATTACATATTTCAAAAAAGGCTAAGAACCTGTTTACAAGCAACTGTATACTATTGTATATTGTTCAGTAGTTCATTTTAGTTAGCTAACAGTGGATGTGAAGCTGTGTTATTAATAATAGTGTTGGATGCCATCTTTTCCACCTAATAAAGCCTTTTATTTTGTCTTCAGTGGAGAATCTGGTGCTGGGAAAACTGTCAACACCAAGAGAGTCATTCAGTACTTTGCCAGCATTGCAGCTGGAGGTGGGAAAAAGGACACAGGTTCTGAGAAAAAGGTGATACTGAATTTGCAGACTGTCAGCCTTTAGACGCACCTTTGCACTACTTTAACAGTAAGTTTCATTTCGATAGGGTACATTGGAGGATCAAATCATCCAATGCAACCCGGCATTAGAGGCCTTTGGGAATGCAAAAACCATCAGAAATGATAACTCTTCCAGATTTGTAAGTTCCTCTCTGTAATGTCTCTTCTCTCAATGCATAATTCACAATATAACTTTTCTTCTCATCTTGTATTTTAGGGAAAATTTATCCGTATTCATTTTGCAGCCAGTGGAAAGCTGGCTTCAGCTGATATTGAGACATGTAAGTGGTGCCTTCTTTTTCTTGAACTTTGCTTTTACACCCATAATGGCTCATTCTACCTACATGATGCAAATGCCTTTACAGATCTGCTAGAGAAGTCCAGAGTAACTTTTCAGCTTAAGGCTGAGAGAGATTACCACATCTTCTATCAAATTCTGTCTCAGAAGAAGCCTGAGCTCCTTGGTAAATAAAAAACATCACATTTTCAAATCAGTACACATTGATTTTGCATCATTGCATTATGTAGTTAAATGTCATATTCTTGGTCTACATCACAGAAATGCTACTCATTACAAACAACCCCTATGACTACGCCTTCATCTCCCAAGGAGAGACGACGGTAGCCTCCATCAATGATGCAGAAGAGCTGATAGCAACTGATGTGAGTAGGAGCTACTTTACAGAGTAACTGGAATATTTGATACATAATATTGTACTGTAACTACATTTTATAGCAGGTACTATATACACTTAATATTATCCAGCAAATACTTAATCCCATAGCTAATAAAACGTTGTTTTTTTTTTCATGCAGGAGGCCTTTGATGTATTGGGCTTCACTCAAGAAGAGAAGAACGGCATTTACAAACTGACTGGTGCCATCATGCACTTTGGTAACATGAAGTTTAAGAACAAGCAGCGTGAAGAACAGGCTGAGGCAGATGGCACTGAAGGTGAGAGAGGACTTCTATAATTTGTAAACTCGTAAACTGTTAGAAAAATTATGTTAATTAATCTATAATTCATGTTTATAATTTTAGATGCTGACAAAGTTGCATATCTGATGGGCCTGAACTCTGCTGACCTCATCAAAGGCCTCTGCCACCCCAGAGTGAAAGTGGGGAATGAGTGGGTCACCAAGGGACAAAATGTTCAACAGGTATGGATTAAACACAGCCAGCTGAATCACCTTCTATTGTTTATATGGAGACAGGTCACACATTATGCATAGAATATGAACATGACTATGTTTTATTTTAAGTTAGCATTTCTTTACTTTTAGGTGTATTATGCGGTTGGAGCTCTGGCTAAAGCAGTGTATGAGAAGATGTTCCTGTGGATGGTGGTGAGAATCAATCATTCACTTGACACCAAGCAGCCTCGCCAGTATTTCATTGGAGTGCTGGACATTGCCGGATTTGAGATCTTTGATGTGAGACTCATCTGCTCATATAATTTTACCATATGTGCAACATCTGGAAAGCAATGCTGATAAGAAGGATGAGTAATAAAAATATTGTTGTCAACTTCCAGTTCAACACCTTTGAGCAGCTGTGCATCAACTTCACCAATGAAAAACTGCAACAGTTTTTCAACCACCACATGTTTGTGCTGGAGCAGGAAGAATACAAGAAAGAGGGGATTGAATGGACTTTCATTGACTTTGGCATGGATCTGCAGGCCTGTATTGACCTGATTGAAAAGGTGAGAATCAGAATATCAAACACATGGAAATGGTAAAAGGTTATTTGTGTTTCAAACCACTTTTATTTCCCTTTCAGCCCATGGGTATCATGTCCATCCTCGAAGAGGAGTGCATGTTTCCCAAAGCCTCTGATGCTACATTTAAAGCTAAGCTTTATGACAATCATCTCGGAAAATCAAACAACTTCCAGAAGCCTAGAGTTGTTAAAGGCAAACCAGAGGCCCATTTTGCCCTGGTCCACTATGCTGGAACTGTTGATTATAACATCAACAACTGGCTGGTGAAGAACAAAGATCCTCTGAATGAGACCGTTGTTGGTCTTTACCAGAAGTCTACAGTCAAGCTGCTTGGTATTCTGTTTGCAAATTATGCAGGAGCTGATTCAGGTAAAGAGACATTATAGTTCAAGCTTCAGGACTAATATTGAAAAAGTTATTTCTGTGTTGATTAGTCTAATGTATAAACTTTTCTAATGCTAAATAGCTGAAAGTGGGAAAGGTGGCAAAGGAGGAGGAGGCAAGAAAAAGGGATCATCCTTTCAAACTGTATCTGCCCTTCACAGGGTAAGTAAAGTCAAATATCTGAGAGTCAAAAGTGATTTTCACTCAGTAACTCAGATATTTTGGTGTAAATATGTCTAAATGTTCAGCATTGTGTTTAAATGCCATGCACAGGAGAACCTAAATAAGTTGATGACCAACCTAAGGTCTACCCACCCCCACTTTGTGCGCTGCATCATCCCCAACGAGACCAAGACTCCTGGGGCAATGGAGAATCCTCTGGTGATGCACCAGCTGCGCTGTAACGGTGTGCTGGAAGGCATCAGGATCTGTAGGAAAGGCTTCCCTAACAGAATCCTCTATGGAGACTTCAAGCAGAGGTATTGCCTCAGTACATCCAAAGGGTATTACCTTAGTACATCCCAGGAGTTGTACTCTACAAGGTCCTGCTAACAAATATATGATTTCCCAGATATCGTATCTTGAATCCTGCTGCCATTCCTGAGGGACAGTTCATTGACAGCAGAAAGGGAGCCGAAAAACTTCTTGGATCTCTTGATATTGATCACAACCAGTACAAGTTTGGGCACACTAAGGTAAATAAAACTTTAAAAAGTCAGAACTACAGACCAAATGTTGTATTTACCATTCAATAGACTGAGGAAATGATTTGTAGTGATTTCATTTATATTAATAGTTGAAGTCTAAGATGACACTCTTAAGCCTATTCCAATTTTGGGATGTATTTGATTTACAATTTCAAAATGTCATAACTAAAAACGTTGTTGTAAGACAGAGTTGTCTCTCCAAGCTTACAAATACATTGTACAGGTATCTTAATAAGTAGTATAAAGATTGTTCCATGTTCCTAAAGGTGTTCTTTAAAGCTGGTCTTCTTGGTCAACTGGAGGAGATGAGAGATGATCGCTTGTCACTCATTATCACTGGAATCCAGGCGAGATCTAGAGGTTTACTTGCAAGAGTTGAATTCCAGAAGATTGTTGAAAGAAGGTATGAATTGGGGCCTTTAAAATAACACAAAATATAAGAACTTCACAACTTTGAAAATTACTATAATAGCAGCAATTTTTTTTTTTTTTACAGGGATTCACTACTCGTAATCCAGTGGAACATCCGTGCCTTCATGGGGGTCAAGAATTGGCCCTGGATGAAGTTGTACTTTAAGATCAAACCTCTCCTGAGATCTGCTGAAGCAGAAAAGGAGATGGCCAACATGAAGGAAGAATTCCTGAAACTGAAGGAGGCCTATGCAAAATCTGAAGCTCGCAGAAAAGAGCTGGAGGAGAAAACTGTCTCTCTTCTCCAGGAGAAAAATGACCTGCAGCTCCAAGTCCACGCTGTAAGTCCCAGGATCACATGCATTCAATAAGATATAGCATACTTATATTGACTGTTGTTGCTCAAACGACTTTTTAAACATAATGACTATTTAGGAGCAAGATAATCTTGCTGATGCAGAGGAGAGGTGTGAGGGGCTAATCAAACACAAAATTCAAATGGAAGCAAAAGCCAAAGAGCTTTCTGAGAGACTGGAGGATGAAGAAGAAATAAATGCTGAACTGACTGCTAAGAAGAGGAAGCTGGAGGATGAATGCTCTGAGTTGAAGAAGGATATTGATGACTTGGAGCTAACTCTGGCAAAAGTGGAGAAAGAGAAGCACGCTACTGAGAACAAGGTTCGGAATTGTGACTTTTTATTATAGTTAAAACAAATGGGAATTATTTAGTCCATAACCCAAGTCTTAATTTTCTTATTTGCTTAATTTACAGGTGAAAAACCTTGTTGAAGAGATGGCTGCTTTGGACGAAATCATCGCCAAGCTCACAAAGGAGAAAAAAGCTTTACAAGAAGCTCATCAACAAACCCTGGATGACCTGCAGAGTGAAGAAGACAAAGTCAACACTCTGACCAAGGCCAAGACGAAGCTGGAGCAGCAAGTGGACGATGTGAGACTTTAATGGCCAAATATCAGTTTTCCAACAAATGTATACACCTATTAGTATAACAATGATTATTGTCTAATTTTCTGATAATTTTCAGCTTGAGGGATCTCTTGAGCAAGAGAAGAAGATTAGATTGGACCTTGAGAGAGCAAAAAGAAAGCTGGAGGGAGACTTAAAGTTGACCCAGGAAAGTTTAATGGACGTTGAGAATGACAAGCAACAACTTGAAGAGCGTCTCAAAAAGTAAGAAATACTTGAATAATTTATTCAATCCAAACAAAGAAGAATTTAAAGATATACCTGATATGCTGGATTTGTAACTTTGCTTTTTCAAACAGGAAAGACTTTGAACTGAGTCAACTGAATAACAAAATTGAGGATGAGCAAGCTATTGCCATTCAGCTTCAGAAGAAACTGAAAGAACTTCAAGTAATCAATAGACTAACATATTTGAAAAGTAGGCAAAACAAATGAATGAAGTCTGTAAACACAAGAATTATCCTCCAACAGGCCCGTATTGAAGAACTGGAGGAAGAGCTTGAAGCCGAACGAGCTGCTCGAGCCAAGGTGGAGAAGCAGAGAGCAGACTTGGCAAGAGAGTTAGAGGAGATCAGTGAGAGACTGGAGGAGGCTGGAGGAGCCACAGCGGCCCAGATAGAGATGAACAAGAAGAGGGAGGCCGAGTTTCAGAAACTCCGCAGAGACCTCGAAGAGGCCACCCTGCACCATGAAGCCACCACTGCCACACTCAGGAAGAAACAAGCCGACACTGTTGCTGACCTGGGAGAGCAGATCGACAACCTGCAGAGAGTCAAGCAGAAGCTGGAGAAGGAGAAGAGTGAGCTTAAACTGGAGCTGGATGATGTTGTGTCCAACATGGAGCACATTCTGAAGACCAAGGTGAACTAATGGTGCTCACGTATGTATGTATGAAAATGGTACATACAAAAGATTGATGCTATATTTTGTGTTCATTTCTGAAATTTTAGATCAATCTTGAGAAAACGTGCAGAACTCTTGAAGATCAAATGAACGAATACAAAACCAAGTTTGAAGAGGCGCAACGCTGCATTAATGACTTCAACATGCAAAAAGCAAAACTTCAAACAGAAAATGGTACAGTGTTTGTGAATAAACAAACATACATGTTTGGTCTAAATTACGTTTAAACTTCAATAATTTATAGTCCATTACAAGTTAACTTCAACATAATTTTGTACCATTGAAAACAAAAAAAATCCAGGTGAACTCTCTAGGCAGCTGGAGGAGAAGGATTCATTCGTGTCTCAGCTGACAAGAGGAAAAATGTCCTACACTCAACAGATCGAAGATCTGAAGAGACAGCTTGAAGAGGAGACAAAGGTAACTGAAATGTTGGGCCTGGCAGACTGTCCAATGCCTTTCATTTTCACGATGCATTATTACTTTTTGGTAACAGGCCAAGAATGCACTAGCCCATGCGGTGCAGTCTGCTCGTCATGACTGTGACCTCCTCAGGGAGCAGTACGAGGAGGAGCAGGAAGCCAAGGCTGAACTTCAGCGCAGCATGTCCAAGGCCAACTCTGAGGTGGCTCAGTGGAGAACCAAGTACGAAACTGATGCCATCCAGAGAACTGAAGAACTGGAGGAAGCTAAGTAAGAGGCTGAGCTTCAATCTAGAACCATTACACAATATTAAAACAGTCATTTCACTTCGTCTAGCAGATCAGCTTTTTGTTTGTGTTATGTTCCTACTAAGATGTAAGACGAACAAAAAGTTTGTCTGTTGGATGACCTCGCAACTGGTGCTTACATTTTCCTATGCATTATTTATCAGACTTCAGATTCATTAAATGTTTTTAATGACAATTTCTCAAGGAAGAAGCTGGCTCAGCGTCTGCAGGAGGCTGAGGAGGCTGTTGAAGCAGTGAATGCTAAATGCTCCTCTCTGGAGAAGACCAAACACAGGCTGCAGAATGAGATTGAAGATCTCATGGTGGATGTGGAGAGGTCTAATGCTGCTGCTGCTGCTCTGGACAAGAAGCAAAGGAACTTTGACAAAGTAAAGTCCTGTTCGTTTAAATACCATGAAATAGAAAGGTGGATATGACTAAATTATGCTTCTCTTCCTTTAAAGTGAATAATGATTATTGTTCACCTGTCTTTACTCTGCAGGTCTTGTCTGAGTGGAAGCAGAAATATGAAGAGTCTCAGTGTGAGCTGGAGAGTTCTCAGAAAGAAGCAAGAGCTTTGAGCACTGAACTCTTCAAACTTAAAAACTCCTATGAAGAGTCTCTGGACCATCTGGAGACCATGAAGAGGGAGAACAAAAATCTGCAGGGTAAAATCTACTGCAAAGGTTTGAAAAATGTTCTGTGTGAAGTTATATTAACCCAATTATTTTACTCTGCTTGGTGTCACACAGAGGAAATTTCTGACCTCACTGAGCAACTTGGTGAGAGTGGAAAAAATATCCATGAGCTGGAAAAGCTTCGAAAACAGCTGGAACAAGAAAAGAGTGAGATTCAGTCTGCTCTTGAAGAAGCGGAGGTATATACCCTTGTTAAGGGATGAAAGGCATTTCAAAAGAACGTCATTATGTGCTGTAAACCTCTGTACGTTTCTTTCCACTAGGCTTCCTTAGAACACGAAGAGGGCAAGATTTTACGAGCCCAATTGGAATTCAACCAAATCAAAGCTGATATTGAACGCAAACTGGCTGAGAAAGATGAGGAAATGGAGCAGTGCAAGAGGAACCTGCAGAGGACAATCGACACCCTGCAGAGTTCTCTTGAGGCCGAGTGCCGCAGCAGGAATGAAGCCCTTCGTCTGAAAAAGAAGATGGAGGGAGACCTCAACGAGATGGAGATCCAGCTTAGCCAAGCCAACAGGCAGGCGGCTGAGTCCCAGAAACAACTCAAGTCGGTTCATGCACATCTGAAGGTAAACTAAAACAGAAGAAAGTCACTTTCAAGAGATCCTGAGAAAATATATGTATGTGCTCACGGTTAATGCCATTCTGTAAAGGATTGCCAAATTCAGCTGGATGAGTCGGTTCGGGCTAACGATGATTTTAAAGAGAACATGGCCATTGTTGAAAGACGCAACAACCTGCTTCAGGCAGAGCTGGAGGAACTGAGGGGCGCTTTAGAGCAAACCGAACGAAGCCGCAAACTTGCTGAGCAAGAGCTGCTGGATGTTAGTGAGCGGGTGCAGCTACTGCACTCACAGGTGAGACTACATCTCCAAGGTAGCAATACTTCCTACATGAACTAATACCTCATAAATATCTCATTTTGATATCATGCAGAACACCAGCCTGATAAACCAGAAGAAGAAGCTGGAGGGTGACACAGTCCAGCTTCAATCTGAAGTGGAGGATGCACTGCAGGAATGCAGAAATGCTGAAGAGAAGGCCAAGAAGGCCATCACTGATGCTGCCATGATGGCAGAGGAGCTGAAGAAAGAGCAGGACACCAGCGCTCACCTGGAGCGCATGAAGAAGAACATGGAGCAGACCATCAAAGATCTGCAGCACCGTCTGGATGAAGCTGAACAGATCGCCATGAAGGGAGGCAAGAAGCAGATCCAGAAGCTTGAGTCAAGGGTGAGTGAAATCACTGAACATATAATACGAATTTGAGCTGAAATAAACAACCATTGTTTACTGATAAATGGCTCTTTATCAGTAATTATTTAGATAAAACATTTTTTATAGCTTTACAGCGTTTTACACTTGTCTCCTAGATATTATAAAAAATTATTATAAAGATATTATGTCCTATTATGTCCTGATGTGTCCAGGTGAGGGAGCTTGAGAACGAAGTCGAGTCAGAGCAGAAGAAAAGTGGAGAAGCAGTAAAAGGAATGCGCAAATATGAGAGACGCATCAAGGAGCTCACATACCAGGTAAAACTTTCAATTTGGAAATATTTGTACAACCAGTAAGAATCCAACTTTACCAAGCATTTTTAATTGTACTGAAAAGAGTTTAAATACATTCTATATACTGGAAGAATCAGACTATAAACATCCAGACTAGAATCAGACTAAAGAGAACATAGTATTCATAGATCATGTTTTACATTCCCATTCAATGATCTATGCAGACTGAGGAGGACCGCAAGAATGTTGCACGTCTGCAGGATCTGGTTGACAAACTGCAGCTTAAAGTGAAGGCATATAAAAGAGCTGCTGAGGAATCTGTAAGTTTGGGATTTCCTTGAAATGTGGTAGACGAACATCCACTTTTTTGCTTCTATGTTTAACACTTTAAAGTGCTTGCTCAGGAGTGCGATGCTGTTGTATCTTGCAGGAGGAGCAAGCCAACACTCACATGAGCAAGTTCCGAAAGCTGCAACATGAGCTCGACGAGGCTGAAGAGAGAGCTGACATTGCTGAGTCTCAGGTCAACAAGCTCCGTGCCAAGAGCCGTGATGTGGGGTCAAAGGTCAGAGATTCCATCAGATTTGAACACGAAAAATAATTCAATTTTTGTTTATTTTCCTGAATGCTGTGTTTCTAGCTACTGCAGTTTCAATACTAAGAATAAGAACAAGTAGAAAAGTGATATTTATCAAGGTGGCCAAGTTTTAATTATAGTGATAGAGTGAGCCTGTTAATGAGTTTGTAAAAAGAATCAAACGAAATAAATCAGACCAGTCTGTTTTACAGATATATTTTATTCTGTGATTTTCTTGTTTAATGAGCCGTGTTAGTGAATTTATCTGGCTATTTGTAACACTTCAAGGAAGATAATGTTTATATTGAACCTATGGTAGAAGTAAGTACTTGTGCTTTTTCCTTCTCCATGTATTTCATAACAGGAGCAAGCATGGGCCATTAAAAGCTGAACTCACATAAAAAATATTGTTTTTCTCTAAGTGTTTTTGACAATAAATCAGATTCAAGTGTTCCTGTTTTAGATCAGTTATGTTTATCAGAACTATTTCTATCAGCTAAATGCCAAAATAATAAAACACATATATGCCTTTTTTTTTCTTCAGAATCTTATTTCCTTTAAAATCCAAAGTTTAAATAAACATCCTTTATTTGGTGGGACTGGTTTTAAACTCTTCATTTTGGGTAGACCTGCCTTCTTTTTGAACAACATGAAGGATGAACATTAGAAAGTGTTTATATTTACATGTAATCCTTTGAATAAATGAATACAGGCATCTGGAAATTATACACAGGACTAAACCACACTTGTGGGTATATTACATAATGTTGCTACAGATTTTTTTGGATGATTTGGATAAACAAAATGTTGTGAACTAACCAATTAAAACCTCACAAGGCCATCTGGACACCTCTGCTTTCCTAATGTTTAAATGCACACTAAACTTGTTGCATGTAAAGCTTTGATTTTGAGGTAATAAAAAAAACATTTCAAAAAAACAAATCTAGTTATTTTTTTATTAAGTAAAGAGAAATCATTTTGTTCAACCTAACTGACAAAAACAGGAACAGTTTAGTCATATTTATTGTCAAACAGTGAGAGAAAATTACTCTTTTCACACAGTGTATGAAAACATCTGGTTTCCACTGTAGATGTGGAGCTAATTATATTTTAGATGATTACTTTTCAACTACAGATCTGAGTATTGGCCAGATAGTGAGTTAGATGGTGGTAAAAACAAAATGAGAAAAACTATAAAACAGACAGTGACAGGACTTCATGTAGCTGTCCAACTGGTTCGTTCAGTAGTCTTTTTGCATTAGCATCTTTCATTCAGTTAGTTCGGCATTCAACGTGTTAGTATATTTATTCACAGATGCGTTAAGGTAGTTGATTTTAGACGGATTAAATTATTATCCTTCAGATTAGCAGTATTATTTAAACTCTGTGGGCCATTTTGTGTAACCCTTACTGAATTTGCTCAATGTTTAGTTACTAATTCATCACTTATTGTTCCCTTTTTGTCATTCTTCATCACAGAAAGGGCTAGATGAGGAATGAAACAGTGATGGCCACCTAAGACCTTCGGGATCTTCTGATGTTGACCCCCTTGCCTGCAATGTAACTGTAGAATAAAGCAAAATGCATTCAAATTAACAAAAGGAGTCATTTTTTATTGTTTTAGCAGAAAAAAATGTTACATGACAACTCTGAGCAACAAAATATCAATAGCATAATTTAAATTATAAAATATAGAATTGGCCAGTGAGTATGCACTTTATGCTTAAGCCATAATCTTTAATGTATTTGGAGAACTTTACACCAACAGTGTATCTATTACTGTTAGGAGTCACTGAACAAATACTGTTGATTTGTGTAATATTTAATTTCTGTATTTAGCATTAGGAGGCTGTTGAGGAGAGCAAATACATACACAACAAACCCAGGAGATGAGACTAACACTGATCCAATAAATCCATAATGGCAAAAAAACAGAGCTAAGAAACTAACCACAAGGAAATGAACTAATAAGGCAATTCCTTACTAACAATAAAGAACTCACAGAAATGTATTCAGAGAGAAATTAACTGTATACGGCAAGCTCTTTTAAATAATATTAAAGAAGTCAAAACCTAAAGACCTAAGGATCATGACATAAACTGACAGGCTGGGCAATAATTAAAGAAGGAACCAAGAAGCAGATGGTAACTGGATAATCTGTCCACAGGAAAATTGGTAGGAAATATCCTCCACAAATTTGGCTGATATGGAAGACTGGCAAGAAGAAGCTCAAGAGATTTTCCATTTTCAGTTTATGGCAAAACAATGGATGTAGCAATCTAAATAGAGGTAAATATTTACCATATTTGTATCGCTCTTGAATGCCCTATGTTCACAAACATAACAGATAGGAAGTAAATGGTCAGATTCTGCCCCCTTGTGTTGACAGCACGTGTTGCAGATATTCCCCCCTAAAAAACACCAACGTATTTAATTAATATGAAGCACAGATTTACTGCTAAATAAGGAGCCAAATAAAGTCATTGGAAAAAGATAAACGTTCGTTTAAATTTTAGGGCTAATTATATTTATCTAGAGATTCGGGAGTGTACTTTGTGTTTGTTACAACCTTTTCTGCTTTTTCTTTGTCTATAATTATATGAAGTGTCTTCTTCTACACTTTATATTAGATTGATGTAGTTTCAGAACCTTGTAAAACACAATATCTAGGAATTAAAACTCTTAATTTGAGAGGGGGTAATTTGTTTTTACCATGGCTGCAGGTACGTACATCATTTATGAGAGTAATATGAAGAAGATCTGGAGTGTTTGTAACATTGGAGCAAATGAAAGCCATGGTGAGTTGGGGATTTAACTTCACTTTGTTTCTCTCCCTGCATACCAGTAATGTTTACATTCACAGAGAAAAGGTTTAAATTATATGTTAAACCAGCTGAAGATGATACAAGCATCTAAGGTGCTGTTAATGTTCTTAAAAAAACCGAACATTTTGCACTGAAAACATTTTACATTTATACACTACAACATGTTTATACAATGCTGATTTCGTCTGCTGCAGACATAAGGATCATAAAATCTTTGTGACAACTAGATGTACTGTAACAAACACATAATGTAGCTGGACTCTGAATGAAAAAAAGTACAATGATTTTATTTCTAAAGAGATTAAACACTATCAAATTTAAAATAAGTCTTGTTGTGACGCAAATATATATATACATTGGTATTCTCAAGCATTCAATTTTAGCTCAAAGGGAATGTATATCGTTCCATCCATATTATTTCATGATGGTGGCAAAATAATAAAAAACAACCTATTTGCAGCAAAACAATCAAAGTAATGCTCTTCTAACTCAGCTATTTATATTTCTGAAAATGTAAGAGTATATGTCAATTATTTAAAGGCTAATGAAATAGTGCTGTATTTTTGAATATTAATTGAAACACATACAATGCAATATCCAATCAAACATAATAATATTCATTATTGCTACTGCAACAAGTTAGTAAACAATCAGCTACATTTTTGTTTTTGGAAACAGATTTTTAGTTAAAACGGAAACATCACCTTAATAATGAATAAAATATCAAACTTAAAGTATGCACATATGCTGAGATGCCTAAGTAGCATTATCGATAAATTTCAGCTTACCTTCCTTCAGGTTTTGTAGCTGCACAAAGTGATACAGAGAGACTGTCAGCATATGAAGAAGTGAGGCAGAAGATGGATGCAAGTTGGCGCAGAGTGCTTGATCTGTGTCTCACATGGATCCGTCCTCCGAAGATTTTCGATAACTACAGAAAGATTACAGGACAACAAGAGAATCTTGTCATCCATGCAATACAAACAAATCTCTCTAATCTTTGCTTAAATGTCCCCCTGAGTCCAAAGTAGCATTTAGATGTTGTTACAATTGCTTTACAAGCTTTAGTTTGTTAATTGCTTAATACATAGGACAGCAATGTTTACAAAGGCTCAAGGACTGCGGCAGATATTAAAACCAAATGGATTTTGAGGTGACAACATTTGTTGTTTCAACTTAGAAACAATTGGACCCACGTAAGAGGAGTTATAGATTGAAGCTGGAATGAAAGTCAGTGAGGTGACATGTGTTAACATTTCCAATGGGATGGAAACAGCTGAGAATGATAATCCAATAATATAAAATCAAATTCTGAAAGACGTTTGCATTGTTTTCTGATGAATCGCAAAGCATCCCACTTCAACACAGAACTAAGTGTGATGGAGTCAGAAGATTTCAATCTTTCAAAACTTTTCAAATAATCCTACCCACTTAAACAGGTGAAATTTTCCTCATTTGAAAAGGCCAAAAAAGTTCTTAGGTAAATTCAAACTACAGGAAAGCTACATTAAATATCTTACTTCTTCCTTGTACATCAGTCCACATCAATGAAACGCCACATGTGCAATTAAATTAACTTGTGCTACTTTAATTTTGGTAGACAGCAGAAATGTATTTTGTCTTTTGGAAAACATAAAGCAATATTTAGTAAATGTATTTGTTCAAAAAAATAATGTAACATAAAATCATATCCTGTATTCAAAACACAAGAAGGCTGTATTAAGTGACTAGTTTTTAGGTCAATCCCACCAATTGTGAGGGAAATCCACAAGCAAGACTTATTGTTTAAATCTTGCTTAATTGAGTTTCAGTTTTTAAACAGAAAATAAATACTAATTTAGTTGAACAGTAATAATATTATGCAATGAAAATAATTTATAATGTAAGAAATATGAATAAAAATTCTCTTCGCCAGAGAGAGCGTTTTCAGTGCAGTGCACCTGCTTCCTCACATCTATCAGGACATAAAGTTGCAGTTCAACTTTATCACTGCCCTCAAAGGCTGTCCTTCACAGTCACAGAGGAAAAATCTAGAAAGAATTTGACAGGGTTATCTTTGTCCACAAGGCCAAAGGAGAGGGAACAATGCCATGATACAATGAGACAAAGGGTGCAGACCTTGCTGGGCAGAACAGTGGTGAGTGATAATTTAAAGTCTCTGACATAGATTTCACTCAACGACAGCTGCAATTCTTCATCGTCTCAGCAGTGACTTTGGATGCCGGTCTACCCACACTTTGCTGAAGTTTATCTTTTAAATTAAGAATCTTAACAGGGCCAATGAGTCAAGATCTCTTCCACAAACATTGTTTCAGTAACAAATTGGTTTTAATCTTTGTCATTGACCCTCCTTGTCCATCATTCTTCTGTGTGAGGTTTTAAACACACCTACTCAGCACATTAATACAGACAGTGAAGAAAAACAGAGGGATTCCTTGATTTTAGTCCACTTTCACAGTTGTAAGCGTTTTGTTATTCAAAAATTTGTGAATTTAAATAGACACTTGATACACTCTATCTAAAAGCTCATATTTTTCTCCAGTAGAAATTAGCAAAACATTTTAAGTTAATAAAAAAATGAAAATAACATTTAGATTTTGGGTTTGAACAAACCCAAGCTAGAAGAAGGTAAAACATGCAAACATTATTTTTAAATGCATCTTAGAAATTATCAGACGCTTAGAAGAACAGAATCATACTCTAAAATAAAAACATTTTAATTAAACCATCAATAGAGCTATAATAAAACCATGAAGAAATGAAATATGACTCAACATGATTAAATTAGGAGTCACTTGATATCAACCCTGTCCATGATTCCCACCTCTTGCCCTCCCCTTTCATTGTACCATGTATTGTCCTCGACTTGTTTGACACAAGGTTACAGCAACAAATAGCAGCAGTCCATCCTGCCCTATTAGGACATTTTTTTTAATGCGCAATCTTTATGCCATATTTGGTGGATCAAAAGGCTTTATTTAAGGAGATACGGCTTCTGTCTGGCACGGCACTGAGCATTTTCTGTGCTTACAGGTTAAGAGTTAAAGGTAAGATAAATATTGTTAACATTATTTGGTAAAATTTCATTCTTAACCTAGTTAAGTTAATACTTAAAATAAATGTGAAATCTTTCATTTGAAATGGCAAATGGTGATTTTTAATAGCATGAATTGATTTTTTTTTTAAATCTGATTTGACCAGAACTTTTGACTGATTCTGATCTTCTTTTGGAGCCGAACTCATCCACTGTAAAAACCAGCTTTGGCTACAAAGGATTTTTATTGTACAGTGAAAATTATTGATAACAATATGATTGAAATACATTTTTGTTGTATTAGATGAATTATAAATTCAAAGTTAAGTTTTATTATTGTTTTTAGAAGCAACTTTCCTTTCCTTATTGACTCCTAGTTTCAAAACAAGCCAAGCAATTAAAAATGAGCATTTTCTAATATTAACTGGTCTGACAGCAATAAATAATCATAAATTCAAATGACTAATCAGTTTTAAAACAGTAACTTGACATATGATACCCAATTTTTGATCCTGTCAAAGAATAAGATTGCCGTCTTAACATGTCCTTATAGAAAAATTCAACAAAGACAATTTAACATAATTTTGACAATCTAAAGAAGGCTACTTTTTAAACCAGGTTGAAACATGGGTGATGCCGCCATGGCAGAGTTTGGGGCTGCTGCTCCTTTTCTAAGGAAATCGGATAGGGAGCGTCTGGAGGCCCAGACTCGCCCCTTCGACATGAAGAGAGAGTGTTTCGTACCTGACCCAGAGGTTGAGTACGTAAAAGCAACCATCCAAAGTCGTGATGGTGACAAAGTCACTGCTGAGACAGAATTTGGAAAGGCAAGTGAATTTATATTCAGTACTAAAATATGTGCAATCAATAAAGTGTTTGATTCTTACTTTTATATTCTTTTCATCTTATTTGTTTACATGACTGAAATAAAGATATTATGATGTTAATGATTCAGTTTAGATGGAATACAAGTTTTTATTGTTTTTTTTTAACAGACTGTCACAGTGAAGGAGTGTGACGTACATCCTCAGAACCCGCCAAAGTTTGATAAAATTGAAGACATGGCGATGTTCACCTTCCTCCATGAGCCAGCTGTACTGTTTAACCTCAAAGAGCGTTACGCATCGTTGCTGATCTATCTAAGAAAGCTCCACTTCAATGAACAAATGAATATTGTGGTGAAATGTAGTCTATTAAATATGTTCAATTAGACACTTATGGCATTATCTTATGTTGTTGTTACCTGTTAACCTGCAGACCTACTCTGGGCTGTTCTGTGTGACTGTCAACCCCTACAAGTGGCTGCCAGTCTACAACCAAGAGGTGGTTGTTGCCTACAGGGGCAAGAAGAGGAGTGAAGCTCCTCCTCACATCTTCTCCATCTCTGACAATGCCTACCAGTACATGCTGGCAGGTACAGAAACCCCTTATTTTCTTCACACATCCCTTATGACACTGCAATTTGAATTGATTGCTAAAATTTCTTGTTGACAGATCGAGAAAACCAGTCAATCCTCATTACGTGAGTCACACTGCAACCTTTTATTTCTTGAGTGGTACTAAGTTGTAGATCCTGGAAGGAAACTTTTCTTGTATTGTTTTCTCAGTGGAGAATCTGGAGCTGGAAAAACTGTAAACACCAAGCGTGTCATTCAGTACTTTGCCAGCATTGCTGCTGCGCCTAGTGGTAAAAAAGATGCTGCAGCTGAAAAAAAGGTTTGTTTAAAAATGCAACTAAAAAGCTCTAACTTAAAATTGCTGAAATGAAAATAATATGTATGTACTGAGGCTGGGACTTAATGCACTAATTTTAATTCACTAATGAGATAAATTTTAATGTGTTAAAATGTTCAATACAAATAATTGCTTTTTTATGAGCAATCCAATGTAGGTTAATGTTTTCCTCAAAGGACAATTTGATTGGATGCTGGAAAAGACTATTGTTGACTGCAAGTTGTGCAAAAAGGAGCTGACGTATCACCAAAGCTATTCAAGCCTAAAAGATCATCTCAATGAAAGACATGTTGCAAGCACAGATGTCCCTAACGTTAAAGCCAGCATTCAACTAGATCTGTTGTAAACTAATATTTTAGTGATCGAGTAATCTATCGATTATTCTTCTGATTAATCCAGTAATCATTTTAAGAATCCTTATTGGTCCCCCAAAATTGATGAAAACCCGGCCATTATCATCAGTCAATAAAATCTCCACGAGGCGAACTAACACTTAGCATTCGTCAACAACTCAAAGACAGAAGTCAGAACTTTGCGCAACACAAGTAATGTCCCGGCCGGAACACGGTGCACAAAATAATAAAACATAAAGTAACAAAGCTTTGAGGCAGGTAAATTTTTCTCAAGGAATTTTAATAATCAAGGTACTCGAATAATGCAAGGAATAGTTTGAGCCCTACAGTCTCATCAGTTGTTTTTTTTAAAATACATGAATGTCCAAAGACTCCATAAGCACTTGAAAGCTGAATGGGTACAATGACACTTTGCACCAATCTGATGACTGAATAACCTACATAAAAGATACAGCAGATTAAAAACAATAAATATCTTTGTTATTAAGCCTATACATTTATATATTAAAAAATTTTGCAGCATAAAAGGTTCTGAATTGAAAAATTTAACTTATTTTGTCCACATATAGTTTTTGATTGAAATCTGATTAATTTTGATTTTTAATTACAGACTCCGTAATTATCTCGATTAAAAATTTTAATTGAGTCAGTCTCACAAGTAGCATAAATATTTACATTTATATACACTTTGTATTAATATTGTCACATATGTCACATTCTGAATTAAATCTGAAATTGTGTTTTTTGTTCAATTTGATCAGGGTACCCTGGAGGATCAAATCATTCAGGCTAATCCTGCTCTGGAGGCTTTTGGCAATGCCAAGACCATTAGGAATGACAACTCCTCCCGATTTGTAAGTGACTTTGGATCTGGAAATAATCATTTGTGAGATAAAACCAAGAAATTAAATAACTCCCTCTCTTCTAGGGTAAATTCATCAGAATCCACTTTGACAATAGAGGAAAGCTTGCCTCTGCTGACATTGAAACCTGTATGTACCTTGATTAGATACTTCAAGGCAGTGATAGCACATTTCTGCTGAGAATAATAGGTTGTTTTCCCAACAGATCTCCTGGAAAAGTCACGTGTCACCTACCAGCTCAAAGCTGAGAGGGATTACCACATTTTCTACCAGATCCTGTCTCAGGCAAAGCCTGAACTTCTGGGTGAGTGTAGGCAACATAGTCAAAGCAATTATGTTTTCTAAAGTATGACATTATATATATTACAACTATATTTTAATTGTGTAAATGTAGAGATGCTACTCATCACCAACAACCCTATGATTACGCATTCATCTCACAAGGAGAGACAACAGTAGCTTCCATCAATGACTCTGAAGAGCTGATGGCTACTGATGTGAGCTGAATTTTAAAAATATTAGCAGAAACTGCATAAATAACTTTTGATGAAAACAAAGTGGATATCAAAATGTTATGTGTAATTAGGACGCCTTTGATGTGCTGGGCTTCACTCAAGAAGAGAAGAACAGCATTTACAAAATGACTGGTGCCATCATGCACTTTGGAAACATGAAGTTTAAGAACAAGCAGAGAGAGGAGCAGGCAGAGGCTGATGGAACTGAAGGTAAGACATTTCTATTTTTAAACAGTTCACAGTCAAACAATGAAGGTAATCTTGAATAATACTTATGTCACTAATTCTCCAAAGACGCTGACAAAGCAGCGTATCTGATGGGATTGAACTCTGCTGACCTCATCAAAGGTCTCTGTCACCCCAGAGTCAAAGTGGGGAATGAGTGGGTCACCAAGGGACAAAATGTTGCCCAGGTAAAGATATTTGCCTTGTTAGAATCATTTGATGCTTTTTTTACTTAGTTTTAACAAATGTCTTTGTCACATCCTTACTGAGGTGTACTATGCTGTTGGAGCCCTGTCTAAGGCAGTTTATGAGAAGATGTTCCTGTGGATGGTAGTGAGAATTAATCAGTCACTTGACACCAAGCAGCCTCGCCAGTATTTCATTGGGGTGCTGGACATTGCTGGGTTTGAAATTTTTGATGTGAGTTTAGATAGGAATCAATGCATACTTGCTGAGTTTTTTATTCTAAGAATTTATTTTTAATTACTCTCAATATCTTTCCAGTTCAACACCTTTGAGCAGCTGTGCATCAACTTCACCAATGAAAAACTGCAACAGTTTTTCAACCACCACATGTTTGTGCTGGAGCAGGAAGAGTACAAGAAAGAGGGGATTGAATGGACTTTCATTGACTTTGGCATGGATCTGCAGGCCTGTATTGATCTGATTGAAAAGGTGAGAATCAGAATATCAAACACATGGAAATGGTAAAAGGTTATTTGTGTTTCAAACCACTTTTATTTCCCTTTCAGCCCATGGGTATCATGTCCATCCTCGAAGAGGAGTGCATGTTTCCCAAAGCCTCTGATGCTACATTTAAAGCTAAGCTTTATGACAATCATCTTGGAAAATCAAACAACTTCCAGAAGCCTAGAGTTGTTAAAGGCAAACCAGAGGCCCATTTTGCCCTGGTCCACTATGCTGGAACTGTTGATTATAATATCAACAATTGGCTGGTGAAGAACAAAGATCCTCTGAATGAGACCGTTGTTGGTCTTTACCAGAAGTCAACAGTCAAGCTGCTTGGTATTCTGTTTGCAAATTATGCTGGAGCTGATTCAGGTATGTAATTTGTCAGGTATGAGTTACTCCTTTTAAAACACGTTATTATTAAATAAGGGGGCATAGCAGATTCCTCTTTATATAAGGGCAGGCAAGGTTTTTTGCTTGCTAAATTATTAATTATTATAAATAAATTATTAAAGAAGTTTAAAGACAAAAAATAAATACCTCTAAATTGTTGGCAGGGCAGCAGTAGCTGTTAGCGTATTTGTTCATCTGTGTCAGATCACCAATTTATAAACAATAGGTGAATAGGTTATAAGTATGATATGGAGAAAAATGCAGCAATGTGCATCTATAATCCATGTTACATATTTTTACTTTATTTGAAAACAATACATCTACATATGGTTTTGATTATTTATTCTATTTAATACTGTGTTAATAACTTTTAGTTCAGGAATCTGGAGGAAAAGGCAAAGGTGGAACGAAGAAGAAAGGTTCATCTTTCCAAACTGTGTCTGCCCTGCACAGGGTAAGATTATTTTGATTTTAACAATCATATAATATCTAAAAGACATCCATGTGAGACATCCACTGACAATAAACATGTGGTTTCAGGAGAACCTGAATAAGTTGATGACCAACCTGAGGTCTACCCACCCCCACTTTGTACGCTGCATCATCCCCAACGAGACCAAGACTCCCGGGGCCATGGAGAATCCTCTGGTGATGCACCAGCTGCGCTGTAACGGCGTGCTGGAAGGCATCAGGATCTGTAGGAAAGGCTTCCCTAACAGAATCCTCTATGGAGACTTCAAGCAGAGGTTTGCTGTTGATTAAAAGTCAGACATAGAAATGTTAAAGAACAAAAATGACCATATTTGGATGTATTTGTTACAAATATTTCATTTTTAACATTATTTAACTCTTCTTGGGTTAGTTGATAACAAAATACACTAGTCCACAAAACAGTTTATTAAGTACGTGTTGCTTCAAAATGAAAGGACCAAAAAAACTATTTTCTAGCTTTTATTCGTCCCAAACTGTTTATATTCTTAGTGTATATCTTTTATTCTATTGTTGAACTGAAGTTCATTGGGTTTTACAAAATGTTTGAATACAATTTTACAAACCTCAATATACAAGTGGTAGTTGAAGTTGAGCATTTTATTCCAAAGACATGACACAAGTGATCTTTTACTTTTGTTAAAAGATACCGCATCTTAAACCCAAGTGCCATACCTGAGGGACAGTTCATCGATAACAAGAAGGCTTCAGAGAAGCTTCTAGGATCCCTAGATATCGATCATAACCAGTATAAATTGGGTCACACCAAGGTAAGTAAAGCTATGTGAGATATCTGTAATTTTTTGATTTATAAATAGATCTTACATTGAAATCACATCTAAATCACACACTTAGAAAGTTTAAATGAGCCCAAATCTTACACATGAACACTCCCACACATGCCTAAGTATTTACATCTTTAAATAACTTAGGTGTTCTTCAAAGCTGG